GATGTTTTACAAAAGTTCTGAACCTTTCTATTCTCATTGTTTCTACAGATTGTAAATTGAAAATAAACATTTTTGCTAAAAGTATTATTATGTTATTGATCGATTGACTATGACTTTTCAGATCACCCAGTAATGCTATCTGCAAGGTTAGCTCCAGGTAAATATTGCAATCCTTTAGCCATTCCTGGACCTGTGTCCAAAAACAAGCTACAAATGGACAGTACCAAAACAAATGATCTAATGATTCTGTCTCTTCGCAGGCAAAATCTGCAGAGCTGGGAAGATTGTATCCCCCATATAAATAACATTCTATTGGTAGCAAGAATTTTATATAATAATTTAAATTGAAAGATTCTAAGTTTTGAATCCGGTGTCGTTTTGCGTATCAGTTCATAAACACTATGCCATGGGATCGGTACGTCAAAAATCTCTTCCCAACTATTTTGCAATCTATATGGGACGGCTGTCAATCCTTTGGTCTTTAAATGAAACTGGTATACTTTTTATTTATCACAGTTTTCTTTAACCAATTATGTTCTTTAATGCAAGGCCGACAGACAAGTTCCTTACTTTCTCCCCCTTCCACTTTCCTCTTCCATTTTTGTGTTAAGGCTGCAATTATTTGGTTGTAATTTTGGGTAGAGCAGACATTTCCATATGTTTTTGTTAGCTGCATGTGCGACATAACTCCACCAGTCCTACCGATGATATCATTTACGAAGATTATACCTTTTTTAAACATTTTGTCCAAAAAAAATAGGTTTTTTGTCAATTAGTATATTTGAGTTCAACCACAATATTTGTTGCATTATTTGTTCTGTCGTTTCTGGAGGATTAAATTGAAATTGCAACCAACTTTCTATGGCTTGTTTTAGAAATAGTGATATTTGGGAGATTATTTCCTTTACAAATAACTGAAAGTGAGAGGTTGTAATCTGAATAAAGGGAAAAAGGCCATTCTTGAACATTGGGTGAGACAATTTTACTAATTTGCTAGAGAACCAGTTCGGATTTAAGTATAACTTTTGTATGACTGAAGCTTTTAGTGATAGGTCTAATGCTTTAATTTTTAATTATTTCTGTCCTCTGAATTCATATTCATTATATAAATAGGCCCGTTTAATTTTGTCTGGCTTGCCGTTCCAAATAAAATGGAATATTTTTTTCTCATAATTGTTTTCGCACAATTGGCCCAGCGTCGTCCGGGTTTGGCCGGTGTAGGCCGTCATTGTAAATAAGAATTTGTTCTTAACTGACTTGCCTAGTTAAATAAAGGTTACATTTAATTAAAAAAATAAATAATGCTCCAATAATGTAAATATTAAAAGAGTAAAAAACAACAACTTTATATTGCATTATATTTTACTATCCATAAAAAAAAAAAAATCTTAGCCCTTCTATGACCTTACATTATCAGTTCTTCAAGTTATTTTAAACAAAATGAGTAAGACAGTGAGTGTGAGTCATACAAAGTTACACAACATTTCCCAATTAACTTCTTTCACATAGTATACTTCCTTTGGGTCAAGTACAACTTTATTTTCTGTAACTGATGAACAGTGCCTTGAAACAAACGCAAGTCCACTCACTCTTATCATCTTTGGAACGTAGGTCAAATCATATTCAAGTCTCACTTGACAGGGCCAGCTGAATTTGCTAAACATTGTCTGCTTATGTCAGTTCCACTGTTGTTTTAGCCAGCCGTTTTACAGTCACTGAGCTGTCCGTCATCCTGTCGACCAATCCCGTCGCAGCCCTGAGTGGTCCCGTCCAATCCCTGAGCTGTGCTGTGTTTAGGTTATGCGGAGTGCATTGGGAAAGGTCCAATCTCTCACTTCCAACCAATCACGGTAATCGCGTGTGTCTGTTCCGAGAAGCCCTCTCTCAGTTTTCCAGTTTTAGGTGAAGGAGCCCATAGACTTGGACTGAAGCTAGGCAAGCAGCTGCTCTGTGTAAGCCCCCACCCGATCACTTCTAACAGATAATAGCCCTCAGTTTAGTGCTATTCATTTACATATGTTTCTCTCTCTCACTTATTCCCTCACTCTTATATATAGAGAAAGGGGTGATGGGAGAAGCCAGATGAGAAGAAGACAGGTTTCCCAACCTCCACACTCGTTTTTGTGACCCATCACCCCTCACTTCATTTAGCTCGGGTCTGTTTGTTAGTTCAGTTCAACGTTCGCTCCTGAGCGGGATATCGTCCTTCGAACCAAACTCACCCTCTCTAACTCCTCTGTACAAGTTCAGCCAGATCACATACCAAAGGCAATGCGGCAATAACACTATTCATATTCTGTCATATAAACACAAATCTTTTACAGTACACATAATATATAGTACAGCATTTTGAGTGTGTTTATATGAGAGAATAATCGTGGTCTTATTGCCTTGCCCTCTCAAAGACATTCAGCGCTGATTACCCATGATTCACTCTGATAAAGTTCCCCATCAGAGCCATGTACAGTGGGGAGAACAAGTATTTGATACACTGCCGATTTTGCAGGTTTTCCTACTTACAAAGCATGTAGAGGTCTGTAATTTTTATCATAGGTACACTTCAACTGTGAGAGACGGAATCTAAAACAAAAATCCAGAAAATCACATTGTATGATTTTTAAGTAATCAATTTGCATTTTATTGCATGACATAAGTATTTGATCACCTACCAACCAGTAAGAATTCCGGCTCTCACAGACCTGTTAGTTTTTCTTTAAGAAGCCCTCCTGTTCTCCACTCATTACCTGTATTAACTGCACCTGTTTGAACTCGTTACCTGTATAAAAGACACCTGTCCACACACTCAATCAAACAGACTCCAACCTCTCCACAATGGCCAGGGATAAAATTGTAGACCTGCACAAGGCTGGGATGGGCTACAGGACAATAGGCAAGCAGCTTGGTGAGAAGGCTACAACTGTTGGTGCAATTATTAGAAAATGGAAGAAGTTCAAGATGACGGTCAATCACCCTCGGTCTGGGGCTCCATGCAAGATCTCACCTCGTGGGGCATCAATTATCATGAGGGATCAGCCCAGAACTACACGGCAGGACCTGGTCAATGACCTGAAGAGAGCTGGGACCACAGTCTCAAAGAAAACCATTAGTAACACACTATATGCCGTCATGGATTAAAATCCTGCAGCGCACGCAAGGTCCCCCTGCTCAAGTCAGCGCATGTCCAGGCCCGTCTGAAGTTTGCCAATGACCATCTGGATGATCCAGAGGAGGAATGGGAGAAGGTCATGTGGTCTGATGAGACAAAAATATAGCTTTTTGGTCTAAACTCCACTCACCGTGTTTGGAGGAAGAAGAAGGATGAGTACAACCCCAAGAACACCATCCCAACCGTGAAGCATGGAGGTGGAAACATCATTCTTTGGGGATGCTTTTCTGCAAAGGGGACAGAACGACTGCACCATATTGAAGGGAGGATGGATGGGGCTATGTCTCGCGAGATCTTGGCCAACAACCTCCTTCCCTCAGTAAGAGCATTGAAGATGGGTCGTGGCTGGGTCTTCCAGCATGACAACGACCCGAAACACACAGCCAGGGCAACTAAGGAGTGGCTCCGTAAGAAGCATCTCAAGGTCCTGGAGTGGCCTAGCCAGTCTCCAGACCTGAACCCAATAGAAAATCTTTGGAGGGAGCTGAAAGTCCGTATTGCCCAGTGACAGCCCCGAAACCTGAAGGATCTGTATGGAGGAGTGGGCCAAAATCCCTGCTGCAGTGTGTGCAAACCTGGTCAAGACCTACAGGAAACGTATGATCTCTGTAATTGCAAACAAAGGTTTCTGTACCAAATATTAAGTTCTGCTTTTCTGATGTATCAAATACTTATGTCATGCAATAAAATGCAAATTAATTACTTAAAAATCATACAATGTGTTGAAGTGTACCTATGATAAAAATTACAGACCTCTACATGCTTTGTAAGTAGGAAAACCTGCTAAATCGGCAGTGTATCAAATACTTGTTCTCCCCACTGTATATAGAGAGTTGGGCCAATGCGATTTCTGTATTATGAAGCATTTCCATGACACTTCAACATTCTATGGCTGCCATTTTAGCTCCCCATTAACATTACATGGGGGATATTTAATGCTATGTAACTGAATGTCTATAATTAGAACAATATTTACAATTCTAAAAGTTCTAAATGGCTCTTGCCCCCATTATTTACTCTGTCACGTGTCCGAGGAGGACGGAGGTCATATTCAGGGCCGGCGATGCGACACGACATTGTACATGGCTAGTAATCCCACACACCCCAGTCAACTACTACTATGGGAGTCTGTTCAAGAGAACGTTACGATATAAATGTATTGTGTAGATCAGGTATGACTGTTTGTCATTTAGAACTGTGGGTCGTGTCAGCTCTACACATCACATTTCCACCTGCAACATTGTGTTTTACCTCATTAAATACACCCCAAATCAATGAGTGATGGCCCTCTGTGGAAGCTATTATTTGAATGTGATGTGATGGACTCTGGTTGTAAACCTGCTCAGAGGCATGACTCAGTTCATCATAGAGTGACCTCTGGTATGAAAGGTTGTGGTCACCTTACAGGGAATGAAAGGCCACAACACTGATATATCCTGTGTGAGGCCAAGTAATGTAATAAAACGTATGTTGCCTACATTACTCCTGTTCCTTTGTGCAACTGAGGAGACATGACAGATCAGGGCTCTATATCTTCTTTCTTCCTGAGTGATATCAGATAAACCGGGAACGTGACATCCATTTCCTGTGAGTGAAGAGCCTTGGGTTGTGTTCATCTGGGCACATTGTAACAAAACATTTTTGCAATAGAAAACTAAAACAAGCGTTTCCTATTGGACAAGTTCAGATAGCACCTCTCCATTTCACTCAGTTTCGGCGCGTTTTTCTTTCATCTCGTGCCTAGTGAACATGACCCCAGACATAGGATGCATGTGGACACTTCCACCTTCCATGTCCTCCTTTTTCTCCAATGAGAATCCTGAGAGTCTGCCCCTTAGAGGCAGTCAGGACACAGCGCCACTTGTCCCGCCCGGTGGGCCCTGCAGGGACACAGTCTGCGGTGGGCAGGGTCGGACCCAGCGCAGCTGAACAGGAGACGCTCCCGCTGCAGGCCGCAGCGACGCCCCCACGGGCTGTAGGCAGGAAATAGATGGTTGTCCACTTCCTGGTCCGTGCTGGAGCAGGACAGGCCCAGTCTGCCAGAGGGAAAAGCAGTGGTGATCAACCAGTTTGGTCTCATCAGAATCTGTTCGAAATTGTGACATTTAACCATTGTAGTTACAGTGGGGGGAAAAAGTATTTAGTCAGCCACCAATTGTGCAAGTTCTCCCACTTAAAAAGATGAGAGAGGCCTGTAATTTTCATCATAGGTACACGTCAACTATGACGGACAAAATGAGAAATAAAAATCCAGAAAATCACATTGTAGGATTTTTAATGAATTTATTTGCAAATGATGGTGGAAAATAAGTATTTGGTCAATAACAAAAGTTTCTCAATACTTTGTTATATACCCTTTGTTGGCAATGACACAGGTCAAACGTTTTCTGTAAGTCTTCACAAGGTTTTCACACACTGTTGCTGGTATTTTGGTCCATTCCTCCATGCAGATCTCCTCTAGAGCAGTGATGTTTTGGGGCTGTCGCTGGGCAACACAGACTTTCAACTCCCTCCAAAGATTTTCTATGGGGTTGAGATCTGGAGACTGGCTAGGCCACTCCAGGACCTTGAAATGCTTCTTACGAAGCCACTCCTTCGTTGCCCGGGCGGTGTGTTTGGGATCATTGTCATGCTGAAAGACCCAGCCACGTTTCATCTTCAATGCCCTTGCTGATGGAAGGAGGTTTTCACTCAAAATCTCACGATACATGGCCCCATTCATTCTTTCCTTTACACGGATCAGTCGTCCTGGTCCCTTTGCAGAAAAACATCCCCAAAGCATGATGTTTCCACCCCCATGCTTCACAGTAGGTATGGTGTTCTTTGGATGTAACTCAGCATTCTTTGTCCTCCAAACACGACGAGTTGAGTTTTTACCAAAAAGTTACATTTTGGTTTCATCTGACCATATGACATTCTCCCAATCCTCTTCTGGATCATCCACATGCACTCTAGCAAACTTCAGACGGGCTTGGACATGTACTGGCTTAAGCAGGGGGACACGTCTGGCACTGCAGGATTTGAGTCCCTGGCGGTGTAGTTACTGATGGTAGGCTTTGTTACTTTGGTCCCAGCTCTCTGCAGGTCATTCAATAGGTCCTCCCGTGTGGTTCTGGGATTTTTGCTCACCGTTCTTGTGATCATTTTGACCCCACGGGGTGAGATCTTGCGTGGAGCCCCAGATCGAGGGAGATTATCAGTGGTCTTGTATGTCTTCCATTTCCTAATAATTTCTCCCACAGTTGATTTCTTCAAACCAAGCTGCTTACCTATTGCAGATTCAGTCTTCCCAGCCTGGTGCAGGTCTACACCTTTGTTTCTGGTGTCCTTTGACAGCTCTTTGGTCTTGGCCATAGTGGAGTTTGGAGTGTGACTGTTTGAGGTTGTGGACAGGTGTCTTTTATACTGATAACAAGTTCAAACAGGTGCCATTAATACAGGTAACGAGTGGAGGACAGAGGAGCCTCTTAAAGAAGAAGTTACAGGTCTGTGAGAGCCAGAAATCTTGCTTGTTTGTAGGTGACCAAATACTTATTTTCCACCATCATTTGCAAATAAATTCATTAAAAATCCTACAATGTGATTTTCTGGAGAAAAAAAATCTCAATTTGTCTGTCATAGTTGACGTGTACCCATGATGAAAATTACAGGCCTCTCTCATCTTTTTAAGTGGGAGAACTTGCACAATTGGTGGCTGACTAAATACTTTTTTTCCCCCACTGTATATGTCACCTAAGCTGACATATTGGTTATATGTCACAGTTCCAGATCAACACCCCTAGTCCTGGTAGAGCTACAGGGGGTTCAGGCTTTTGTTCCTGCACAGCACTAACATACACAATTCAACTAGCCAAGGCCTTGATGATTAGGTGATCTCAGTTCAATCATGTTTTTATTTTTTTATATATTTTTTATTTTACCCCCTTTTTCTCCCCATTTCGATCTTGTCTCATCGCTGCAACTCCCCAACAGGCTCGGGAGGCGAAGGTCGAGTCATGCGTCCTCCGAAACATGACCCGCCAAACCGCGCTTCTTAGCATCTGCCCGCTTGACCCGGAAGCCAGCCGCACCAATGTGTCGGAGGAAACACTGTTCACCTGACGACCGAGGTCAACCTGCAGGCGCCCAGCCCGCCACAAGGAGTCACAATAGCACGATGAGTCAAGTAAAGCCCTCCAGCCAAACCCTCCCCTAACCCGGACAACGCTGAGCCAATTGTGCGCCGCCCTATGGGACTCTGGATCACGGCCGGTTGTGATCGAACCCGGGTCTGTAGTGACGCCTCTAGCATTGCGATGCAGTGCCTTAGACCGCTGCGCCACTCGGGAGGCCCCTCAATTTAGTGCTAGGCTGGAACAAAAACCATATAATTTTGCTATAGTCAGCAATGTGATATAACAGGGTATTGATGGGAATTTCTTATAGCCTATCACAATATTGTGTGAAAACATTGAACAGGGATTGTATTGGCCTACCTGGTCTGAAGACTAGAGTTACAGCCGATGCTAAAGTGTACATGTAGCACACAAGTACTAACAGACAGCCTAAACCATGGTACAGTATAATCCCACTGTGTGTGCTATGTGCTGTATTGGCTAGTCCTCTTGCACCTGTGTATATGTAAGTATTGGATAGCTGTGCCCTTGCACCTGTATATACAGTGCATTCGAAAAGTATTCAGACCCTTTTACTTTTTCCATATTTTGTTACGTTACAGCCTTATTCTATAATGGATTACATTTAAAAAATTCCTCATCAATCTACACAGAATACCCCATTATGAAGAAGTGAAAACAGGTTTTTAGAAATGTTTGCAAATGTATTACAAATCAAAAACAGAAATACCTTATTTACATTTACAGACCTTCTCCCTTACCTCACCTCACTCATCAACTCATCCTTGACCGCTGGCTATGTCCCTTCCGTCTTCAAGAGAGCGAGAGTTGCACCCCTTCTCAAAAAACCTACACTCGATCCCTCCGATGTCAACAACACACCAGTATCCCTTCTTTATTTTCTCTCCAAAACTCTTGAGCGTGCCGTCTTTAGCCAACTCTCTTGCTATCTCTCTCAGAATGACCTTCTTGATCCAAACCAGTCAGGTTTCAAGACTGGTCATTCAACTGAGACTGCTCTTCTCTGTGTCACGGAGGCTCTCCGCACTGCTAAAGCTAACTCTCTCTCCTCTGCTCTCGTCCTTCTAGACCTATCCGCTGCCTTTGATACTGTGAACCATCAGATCCTCCTCTCCACCCTCTCCGAGTTGGGCATCTCCGGCGCGGCTCACTACGTCCTACCTGACAGGTCGCTCCTACCAGGTGGCGTGGCGAGAATCTGTCTCCGCACCACGTGCTCTCACCACTGGTGTCCCCCAGGGCTCAGTTCTAGGCCTGCTCCTATTCTCGCTATACACCAAGTCACTTGGCTCTGTCATATCCTCACATGGCCTCTCCTATCATTGCTACGCAGACGACACACAATTAATCTTCTCCTTTCCCCCTTCTGATAACCAGGTGACGAATCGCATCTCTGCATGTCTGGCAGACATATCAGTGTGGATGACGGATCACCACCTCAAGCTGAACCTCGGCAAGACGGAGCTGCTCTTCCTCCCGGGGAAGGACTGCCCGTTCCATGATCTCGCCATCACGGTTGACAACTCCGTTGTGTCCTCCTCCCAGAGTGCAAAGAGCCTTAGCGTGACCCTGGACAACACCCTGTCGTTCTCCGCTAACATCAAGGCGGTGACCCGATCCTGTAGATTCATTCTCTACAACATTCGCAGAGTACGACCCTGCCTTACACAGGAAGCGGTACAGGTCCTAATCCAGGCACTTGTCATCTCCCGTCTGGATTACTGCAACTCGCTGTTGGCTGGGTTCCCTTCCTGTGCCATTAAACCCCTACAACTCATCCAGAACGCCGCAGCCCGTCTGGTGTTCAACCTTCCCAAGTTCTCTCACATCACCCCGCTCCTCCGCACACTCCACTGGCTTCCAGTTGAAGCTCGCATCTGCTACAAGACCATGATGCTTGCCTACGGAGCTGTGAGGGGAACGGCACCTCCGTACCTTCAGGCTCTGATCAGTCCCTACACCCAAACGAGGGCATTGCGTTCATCCACCTCTGGCCTGCTGGCCCCCCTACCTCTGCGGAAGCACAGTTCCCGCTCAGCCCAGTCAAAACTGTTCTCTGCTCTGGCACCCCAATGGTGGAACAAGCTCCCTCACGACGCCAGGACAGCGGAGTCACTCACCACCTTCCGGAGACATTTGAAACCCCACCTCTTTAAGGAATACATGGGATAGGATAAAGTAATCCTTCTACCTCACCTTACCCCACCCCCCCAAATATTTTATTTTTTAATAAAAAAAGAAAAATATACAGTGAGGGAAAAAAGTATTTGATCCCCTGCTGATTTTGTACGTTTGCCCACTGACAAAGACATGATCGGTCTATAATTTTAATGGTAGGTTTATTTGAACAGTGAGAGACAGAATAACAACAAAAAAATCCAGAAAAACGCATGTCAAAAATGTTATAAATTTATTTGCATTTTAATGAGGGAAATAAGTATTTGACCCCTCTGCAAAACATGACTTAGTACTTGGTGGCAAAACCCTTCTTGGCAATCACAGAGGTCAGACGTTTCTTGTAGTTGGCCACCAGGTTTGCACACATCTCAGGAGGGATTTTGTTCCACTCCTCTTTGCAGATCTTCTCCAAGTCATTAAGGTTTCGAGGCTGACGTTTGGCAACTCAAACCTTCAGATCCCTCCACAGATTTTCTATGGGATTAAGGTCTGGAGACTGGCTAGGCCACTCCAGGACCTTAATGTGTTTCTTCTTGAGCCACTCCTTTGTTGCCTTGGCCGTGTGTTTTGGGTCATTGTCATGCTGGAATACCCATCCACGACCCATTTTCAATGCCCTGGCTGAGGGAAGGAGGTTCTCATCCAAGATTTGATGGTACATGGCCCCGTCCATCGTCCCTTTGATGCGGTGAAGTTGTCCTGTCCCCTTAGCAGAAAAACACCCCCAAAGCATAATGTTTCCACCTCCATGGTTGACGGTGAAGATGGTGTTCTTGGGGTCATAGGCAGCATTCCTCCTCCTCCAAAAACGGCGAGTTGAGTTGATGCCAAAGAGCTCGATTTGGTCTCATCTGACCACAACACTTTCACCCAGTTCTCCTCTGAATCATTCAGATGTTCATTGGCAAACTTCAGATGGCCCTGTATATGTGCTTTCTTGAGCAGGGGGACCTTGCGGGCGCTGCAGGATTTCAGTCCTTCACGGCGTAGTGTGTTACCAATTGTTTTCTTGGTGACTATGGTCCCAGCTGCCTTGAGATCATTGACAAGATCCTCCCGTGTAGTTCTGGGCTGATTCCTCACCGTTCTCATGATCATTGCAACTCCACGAGGTGAGATCTTGCATGGAGCCCCAGGCCGAGGGAGATTGACAGTTATTTTGTGTTTCTTCCATTTGCGAATAATCGCACCAACTGTTGTCACCTTCTCACCAAGCTGTTGGCGATGGTCTTGTAGCCCATTCCAGCCTTGTGTAGGTCTACAATCTTGTCCCTGACATCCAAAGAGAGCTCTTTGGTCTTGGCCATGGTGGAGAGTTTGGAATCTGATTGATTGATTGCTTCTGTGGACAGGTGTCTTTTATACAGGTAACAAACTGAGATTAGGAGCACTCCCTTTAAGAGTGTGCTCCTAATCTCAGCTCGTTACCTGTATAAAAGATACCTGGGAGCCAGAAATCTTTCTGATTGAGAGGGGGTCAAATACTTATTTCCCTCATTAAAATGCAAATCAATTTATAACATTTTTGACATGCGTTTTTCTGGATTTTGTTGTTGTTATTCTGTCTCTCACTGTTCAAATAAACCTACCATTAAAATTATAGACTGATCATTTCTTTGTCAGTGGGCAAACGTACAAAATCAGCAGGGGATCAAATACTTTTTTCCCTCACTGTATATATATGTATATATATTGTAAAGTGGTTGTCCCACTGGCTATCATAAGGTGAATGCACCAATTTGTAAGTCGCTCTGGATAAGTGCGTCTTCTAAATGACGAAAATTTAAATGTAAATGTACATAAATATTCAGACCCTTTGCGATTGTAGTCCATCTGTGGTAAATTCAATTGATTGGACATGATTTGGAAAGGCACACAAATGTCTAGATAAGGTAGGAGAACCTTCCAGAAGGACAACCATCTCTGCAGCACTCCACCAATCAGGCGTTTATGGTAGAGTGGCCACTCCTCAGTAAAAGGCACATGACAGCCCGCTTGGAGTTTGGCAAAAGGCACCTAAAGGATTATCAGACCATGAGAAACAAGATTGATCTCTTTGGCCTGAATGCCAAGCGTCACGTCAAGGAAACCAGGCACCGCTCATCACCTGGCCAATACCATCCCTACGGTGAAGCATGGTGGTGGCAACATCATGCTGTGGGGATGTTTTTCAGCGGCAGGGACTGGGAGACTAGTCAGGATTGAGGGAAAGATTAACGGAGCAAAGTACAGAGAGATCATTGATGAAAACCTGCTCCAGAGCTCTCAGGACCTCAGACTGGGGCGAAGGTTCCCCTTCGAACAGGACAATGACTCTAAGCACACAGCCAAGACAACGCAGGAGTGGCTTCGGGACAAGTCTCTGAATGTCCTTGAGTGGCTCAGCCAGAGCCCGAACTTGAACCCAATCTAACATTTCTGGAGAGACCTGAAAATAGCTGTGCAGCGACGCTCCCCATCCAACTTGACAGAGCTTGAGAGAATCTGCAGAGAAGAATGGGAGAAACTCCCCAAATAGGTGTGCCAAGCTTGTAGCGTCATACCCAAGAAGACTCGAGGCTGTAATCGCTGCCAAAGGTGCTTCAACAAAGTACTGAGTAAAGGGTCTGAATACTTATGTAAATGTATTATTTCAGACTTTTATTTTTTTTTTATAAATTTGCAAAAATGTATAAACACCAGTTTTTGCTTTATCATTATGGGATATTGTGTGTAGATTGATGAGGGGGGGAAAACAATTTAATCAATTTTAGAATAAGGCTGTAACGTAACAAAATGTGGAAAAAGTGAAGGGGTCTGAATACTTTCCGAATGCACTGACTGTAGTTATTGGATAGCTGTGCCCTTGCACCTGTTTGCAGTATGTTTGTTCTGTCTGTCTTCCTGCCTGCCTGTCGGTCTGTCTTTCTGTCTGTCTGCCTGTATGTCTTTCTCTCACCTGGTGAACGCTGCGGGGTTGTTGAGGTGGTGGAACAGGGCCGGCTCACACACCAGGGAGGCACGTCGACAAACACTCGCACACGACTGGCCCAGGGGGCCCAGATGTATTCTCAGAGCGCTCTCAGGTGGCCAGGTAGGGAAGGACACGCTGCAGAAGTCCTGGGGTCAACATGAAGACAAGAACAACAGTTATATTATTTTGCAAAAATGTTGAAATGTATCATATAGCTCATGAGACTGGGTTTGGAACAGTATGCAACAAGGTTGTTCAACTCAGTTTAGGGTCCTCACTATCTGGCCATGCTAGGAGGTACAGAATTTTCAAACGTCAAAAAGTGACCACCCACTATCCTTGACCTAAATTAGTAAGAAAAATGTGCCGTATTTGCCAATCAGTTCTGACAATATTGCCACCATTGTTCTTTCTAGCATGGCCAGCTAGTGACTACCATTAATATACAGTTGAAGTCGGATGTTTACATACACCTTAGCCAAATATATTTAAACTCAGTTATTCACAATTCCTGACATTTAATCCTAGTAAAAATTCCCTGTTTTAGGTCAGTTAGGATCACCACTTTATTTTAAGAATGTGAAATGTCAGAATAATAGTAGAGAGAATTATCTATTTCACCTTTTATTTATTTCATCACATTCCCAGTGGGTCAGAAATTTACATACAATCAATTAGAATTTGGTTGCATTGCCTTTAAACTGTTTAACTTGGGTCAAATGTTTCGGGTAGCCTTCCACAAGCTTCCCAAAATAAGTTGGGTGAATTTTGGCCCATTCCTCCTGACAGAGCTGGTGTAACTGAGTCAGGTTTGTAAGCCTCCTTGCTCGCACACACTTTTTTAGTTGTGCCCACAAATGTTCTATAGGATTGAGGTCAGGGCTTTGTGATGGCAACTCCAATACCTTGACTTTGTTGTCCTTAAGTTATTTTGCCACAACTTTGGAAGTATGCTTGGGGTCATTGTCCATTTGGAAGACCCATTTGCGACCAAGCTTTAACTTCCTGACTGATGTCTTGAGATGTTGCTTCAATAAATCCACATAATTTTCCTTCCTCATGATGCCATCTATTTTGTGAAGTGCACCAGTCCCTCCTGCAGCAAAGCACCCGCACAGCATGATGCTGCCACCCCTGTGCTTCACGGTTGGGATGGTGTTCTTTGGCTTGCAAGCTTCCCCCTTTTTTCTCCAAAACATAACGGTGGTCATTATGGCCAAACAGTTCTATTTTTGTTTCATCAGACAAGAGGACATTTCTCCAAAAAGTACGAACTTTGTCCCCATGTGCAGTTGCAAACCGTAGTCTGTCTTTTTTATGGTGGTTTTGGAGCAGTGGCTTCTTCCTTACTGATTGGCCTTTCAGGTTATGTCAATATAGGACTTGTTTTACTGTGGATATAGATACTTTTGTACCTGTTTCCTCCAGCATCTTCACAAGGTCCTTTGCTGTTGTTCTGGGGTTGATTTGCACTTTTCGCACCAAAGTACGTTCATCTCTAGGAGACAGAATGCGTCTCCTTCCTGAGCGGTATGACGGCTGTGTGGTCCCATGGTGTTTATACTTGCATACTATTGTTTGTACAGATGAACGTGGTACCTTCAGGCGTTTGGAAATTGCTCCCAAGGATGAACCAGACTTGTGGAGATCTACCATTTTTTTTCCCATGATGTCAAGCAAAGAGGCACTGAGTTTGAAGATAGGCCTTGAAATACATCAACAGTGACACCTCCAATTGACTCAAATGATGTCAATTAGCCTATCAGAAGATTCTAAAGCCATGAAATCATTTTCTGGAATTTTCCAAGCTGTTTAAAGGCACAGTCAACTTAGTGTATGTAAACTTCTGACCCACTGGATTGTGATACAGTGAATTATAAGTGAAATAATCTGTCTGTAAACAATTGTTGGAAAAATTACTTGTGTCATGCACAAAGTAGATGTCCTAACCGACTTGCCAAAAGTACAGTTTGTTAACAAGACATTTGTGGAGTGGTTGAAAAATGAGTTTTAATGACTCCAACCTAAGTGTATGTAAACTTTCTGACTTCAACTGTATATTACCAAGCCTGCTCTTTGTTCCAATGCCTCCCAATATAAGACATTATAAGACACATATAGTAATATAAACCATAGACCGTATAAAACCTGATGAGTGATGTAAGCATGGACCCTTTCCAGCATCCCTTCACTGGTGAACTCTCGAGGGGTGAAGGGTTTGACCTTTAAAAACAGACATAGAAGCTAAATACAGCTTTATGTCAGGGTTATGCTAATCATATGAGCCTTCATTAGCATTCATATAACAGCCATAACAATGGATAAGGGGTTTCACCTGTAAAACAGACAAATTCTATCTTCCATAGATCTCGAGATCCATTACAAGGTTATTGTGACTGACCTCTGTGCGTAGAATAGCCCTGACCGTCTCTTGAACGTCAGTGGTGTTGGTCATGTCCACGGTCCAAACGTAGGGCTTACCGATGAACTCCTCGGCATAGGGGTGCTGGGAGGAGACCTGACAGACACACACACACAGACACATGTACACACACGCATGCATGCACACACACCAACACACACACACGCACACACACACACACACACTTCCCAATTAAACCTCCATTGGGTGTGAAATTGTCATTAGGTTAATTTTTTCTTCATTTTTCTCAATTTCATTTGATTAATTTCTTAATACATCTTTGGATTAGTTCATATCCAGTACCTGTCGTGTTGTGGGCTTCCCTTTATAGAAGTCACTGTTTTCAGAGGAGCGAGGGGGCTGGAAGCGCGGCTGGAGGAAGACACACCCTAAAGCTATGGCCTCCAGAGGAGCTGGACCCTCATAGGGAAACCCAAGGCCCACAAACACCTGAGGGGGGGAATCACTATCACTGCATGGCTTTCAGAGATATTGTAGAAAGTAATGTCGTTTTCATGATTTGGTCATTGAGTGCTTGAATCCTAACATATGAAGCTATATATTAGACCCAGGTCTGAAACCATGCATAGATGTCCACGGAAGTTTGCACAATAAATCAAGATAGGAATTGTCCTCATGGGCCCTGAGACACTGTGGTCTGGGTTCAGTTATGTTGTTACCTTGGCTCTCCTGAGGAGCTGTAAGAACTGATCCTGGGCCAGCAGGCCGTGGTTGATAATGTTACTGGGCAGCTGAGCGGAGTGGCCTGGAGGCTGGTACACTGTGCCGTGGGTCTCCAGCTCCTGACTGATCACCTCCAGATAACGCTCCTTGCCCTGGAATAGAGTAGAGTAGAGTAGAGTAGAAGTTCATTTATAGTATAGAGTAGAGTTGAGGGAGTATGTTGCATGTTGGCCGTTCCAAAAACAACCTATCTAGTCAGGACATTACTGGATGGCACTGTCGTTGGTCACTGCACCCTTTTACTCCATCTGCCTCCTTACCTGCCACATGTAGTCCTGTTTCCCATAGACCACAGCCGTGTTGTCCTTCCTGTATGGCCCTGGCTCCACTTCCTCCTCCCTCTCTTCCTGCTCCACCATCACCTCCTCGCTCACAAACCCCAGGAACGAGTTATCAGGGGTATGAGCTACACAGGAGACAGAGACACAATATGTCAGAATGCAATTTTGGATTATATCGTTAGGAAAGTGTTGTTGTATTGATTGTTTGAAGTCACATTATAACCACAGACCAACGTTGTAGCCATCAAACAACCAATAAGTTATCACATTTAGTATATTGTCTAGTGGTCAAGAACTACAGCAAATCATTATTTCATCAGCAAAGAAACAAGTATAAATCCTCTATCAGTTAGATCTCAAAGGATTAAAACCTGTTTCTTCCCAAAAGGCTTTTATCAGAATGAACAAGAGAGGTATAAGACAAAACAATGTGTCGATGTCTAATGTGTCTATTAGGTCTAATATCTCATATGTGTCTAATTGTCACGACTTCCGCCGAGGCTGCCTCCCCTCCTTGTTCGGGCAGGTTTCGGCGTTCGGCTTCACCGGCTTACTAACTACAGCCGATCCATTTATCATCACTCCATTTGTCTTGACTTCAATCACACACACCTTGTCCTTATTCCCTCATTAGTCATGGTATAAGTGTTCCCTCTGCTTCCTTGTCTGTGTGGGTGATTGTTTATTGTGGAGGTTAGTGAAGCTCGGTGGAGCGCGTGTATTGGGTATCGACGGGAGTATTTCCCGTGTGCCTGTTTTGTGCCCTGGAGTGTGTTTGACGCATTTCTGCGTAAACCTGTATTTTGCGGATTAAAGCCTGTTATTCTGTAATTTACCCTCCTGCGCCTGACTCCTTCATCACCACCTCATCACACTAATAGGTCTAATATCTCTAATGTGTCTAATGTGTTAATGTGTCTAATGTGTCTATGTGCAGCTGGAGATGTCAGTAGCTGTCAGACAGATTTTTGAGGACAGGAGGAGACTATAACAAACACCATTTGTACAGGACAACAATAGAAAGAAAGCTATTTTGGACAGGCGATATCGACATAAGGGACCAAGAATGCGGGTAGTGACAGTTGAGTAATAACATTGGGAGCGTCTCGATGGGCCGACGTGAAAGGAGAGAAACAGACATAAATCACATGTTTATGGAAATAAAAACTATTCTTAGGGGTTAGTGTCAGTGTGTTTGGATAGGCCATACACTTTGACTTCCCACAGCTTCTCAGATTCATCCTAATAGAACAGAGAAAGGGAGGTGTGAGAGATGGGATATTTATTTAAGAAATACAAGAATGTGTCTGTGAATGTGTGTGTGCGCGTGCGTGCTTGTGTGCAGGCTTGTGTGTGTCTGCATATTAGTCCACGTGTGTCAGTCCGTCTGTCCCCCCGACGGTTGTTTAAAAGACCCTGCCAAATAACTCTCTCCTGTCTCCTAACTCTTCTCCACAACGGTGAAGAAGGTCCTCTCTGGGTGAATAACAGGCTAATTTGTCCTAGCTCGTCTCCAACACTCCTCCGCATACACACCAGGCGCTTAGCACCTCCATTCATCAGCCTAGTGGGCTCGCACCAACACACTGACATGAATCATGATCAAGACGGAAAATGGTGCCAGTAGGGGGGAATAGGGGAGAGATGGCTAGATATAACCATTGCCTTCCACACACACACAGAGAGAGCGAGACAGAGAGACAGACAGAGAGACAGACACACACACACACACTAGAACCAATGCCTTCCACACAGAGAGAGAGAGAGAGAGAGAGAGAGACACACACACACACTAGAACCAATGCCTTCCCATAGGCCCTGACACTCAACAGATCCTTTCTATCTCTTCAAAGCCCCATCAACACAACCTCTACTCCCTTTCTCCCTCCGTCTCTCCATCTCTTCCTCTCTCAGAGCTGCCATCGCCGTGGGCAACATCCCTCTTGCCGCACGAGCAGCACAAATAAACAGCAGCGTTCCTGCCTGTGGGAGGGGTCCGGACCGTTCGGCGCTCTCCAGCTTGTCTCAGTCTAGTCGGAGTGGGAGAGATGACTAGGAAGGGTTTGGGAAGATTTTGGGAAGGGCAAGGGCTCATGTTTATTTAACCTGTTCTAAATCCTCTCACTCTGCAGACATATGAAGTCTCCTTTGTGGAACATACATCAGCACTGTCATAATTAATAACACTCCCACAGTGTGTCACCACTGTTGGTCCCTGAATGGTAAAGCCCAACACAGACACATGCACACATACACAAACAAACACACACAAATGCAAAAACCCATAAACAGACTTACATATATAACAGGGTTGATTATGTATCCACTTGCCACTGCAGAGATATGTATTCAATGTTTATGTATTCCTACTGGTTGGTTGAATTGACATATTAGTAAGGTGTTATGTTATTGGCTACACTTGCAGATAGGGGGAGATTGCGAACGTCAGTTCTTCCCAATTTGATATTGACAAGCAAGCGGTAGGTCACGTTCTGAAATAGTGCATTATATTTACGTATTTCTAATGTGTACGAGTTCACTATGTACATTTCCTGATATACACTAACAGTCAAAAGTTTGGACACACCTACTCATTCAACAGTTCTTTATTTTAAAAAAATTTTACATTGTAAAATAATAGTGAAGACATCAAAACTATGAAATAACACATATGGAATCATGTAGTAACCAAAAACGTGTTAAACAAATCAAAATATTGAGATTCTTCAAATAGCCACTCTTTGCCTTGATGACAGCTTGCACACTCTTGGCATTCTCTCAACCAGCTTCATGAGGTAGTCACCTGGAATGCATTTCAATTAACAGGTGTACCTTCTTAAAAGTTAATTTGTGGAATTTATTTCCTTCTTAATGCGTTTGAGCCAATCAGTTGTGTTGTGACAAGGTAGGGGAGATATACAGAAGATAGCCCTATTTGGTAAAATACAGCTCAAATAAGCAAAGAGAAATGACAGTCCATCATTACTTTAAGACATGAAGGTGAGTCAATACGGAAAAATGTTTGCAGTCGCAAAAACCATCAAGCACTATGATTAAACTGGCTCTCATGAGGACCGCCACAGGAATGGAAGACCCAGAGTTACCTCTGCTGCAGAGCATAAGTTCATTAGAGTTACCAGCCTCAGAAATTGCAGCCCAAATAAATGCTTCACAGAGTTCAAGTCACAGACACATCTCAACATCAACTGTTCAGAGGGGACTGTGTGAATCAGGCCTTCATGGTCGATTTGCTGCAAAGAAACCACTACTAAAGGACACCAATAATAATAAGAGACCTGCTCGGGCCAAGAAACACGAGCAATGGACATTAGACCGGTGGAAATGTGTCCTTTGGTCTGGAGTCCAAATTTGAGATTTTTGGTTGCAACCACCGTGTCTTCGTGAGACGCGGTGTGGGTGAACGGATGATCTCCGCATGTGGGGTTCCCACCGTAAAGCATGGAGGAGTAGGTGTTATGGTGTGGGGGTGCTTTGCTGGTGGCTACACTTAACCAGCATGGCTACCACAGCATTCTGCAGCGATACGCCATCCCTTCTGGTTTGGGCTTAGTGGGACTATCATTTGTTTTTCAACAGGACAATGACCCAACACACCTCCAGAATGTGTAAGGGCTATTTTACCAAGAAGGAAAGTGATGGCGTGCTGCATCAGGTGACCTGGCCTCCACAATTCCCCGACCTCAACCCAATTGAGATGGTTTGGGATGAGTCGGACGGCAGAGTGAAGGAAAAGCAACCAACAAGTGCTCAGCATATGTGGGAACTCCTTCAAGACTGTTGGAAAAGCATTCCAGGTGAAGCTGGTTGAGAGAATGCCAAGAGTGTGCAAAGCTGTCATTTACATTTGTACATTTTAGTAATTTAGCAGACGCTCTTATCCAGAGCGACTTACAGTTAGTGAGTGCATACATTTTTCATACTGGCCCCCCGTGGGAAACGAACCCACAACCCTGGCATTGCAAGCACCATGCTCTACCAACTGAGCTACAGGGGACCTTGTCATCAAGGCAAAAAGGGTGGCTATTTGAAGAATCTCAAATATAAAATATATTTTGATTTGTTTAACACTTTTTTTGGTTACTACATGATTCCATATGTGTTATTTCATAGTTTTGATGTCTTCACTATTATTCTACAATGTAGAAAATAGTAAAAATAAAGAAAAACCCTTGAATGAGTAGGTGTGTCCAAACTTTTGACTGGTACTGTGTATATATACACAGTGCTTTCAGAAAGTATTCATACCCCTTGACTTATTCTACATTTTGTTGTGTTACAGCTGAATTCAAAATGGATTAAATAGATTTTTTGTCTCACCCAACACCCCATAATGACAAAGTGAAAACATGTTTTTAGACATTTTTGCAGATGTATTTCAAATGAAATACTAAAATGTTATTTACATAAGTATTCACACCCCTGAGTCAATACTTTGTAGAAGCACCATTGGCAGCGATTACAGCTGTGAGTCTTTCTGAGTAAGTCTCTAAGAGCTTTCCACACCTGGATCTTGCAACTTTTGCCCACTATTCTTTTCAGAATTATTCAAGCTCTGTCAAATTGGTTGTTGATCATTTCTAGACAACCATATTCAGGTCTTGCCATAGATTTTCAAGTAGATTTAAGTCAAAACTGTAAATCGGCCAATCAGGAACATTCACTGTCTTCTTGGTAAGCAACTCCAGTGTAGATTTGGCCTTGTGTTTTAGATTATTGTCCTGCTGAAAGGTGAATTCATCTCCCAGTGTCTGGTGGAAAGCAGACAGAACCAGGTTTTGTGGATTTGCTCCAAACATAACACTTTGTATTCAGGACAAAAAGTTAATTTCTTTGCTACAGTTTTTGCAGTATTACTTTAGTGTCTTGTTGCAAACAGGATGCATGTTTTGGAACATTTTTATTCTGTACAGGCTTCCTTCTTTTTAGCTCTGTCAATTAGGTTAGTATTGTGGAGTAACTACAATGTTGTTGATCCATCCTCAGTTTTCTCATATCTCTGGCAACTGAGTTAGAAAGGACACCTGTATCTTTGTAGTGACTGGGTGTATTGATACACCATCCAAAGTGTAATTAATAACTTCACCATGCTCAAAGGGATATTCAATGTCTGTTCAATTATTTCTTTACCCATCTACCAATAGGTACCCTTCTTTGAGAGGCATTGGAAAACCTCACTGGTCTTTGTGGTTGAATCTGTGTTTGAAATTCACTGCTCGACTGAGGGACCTTACAGATACAGTAATTGTATGTGTGGGGTACAGAGATGAGGTAGTCATTCAAAAATCATGTTAAACACTATTATTGCACACAGAGAGAGCCCATGCAACTTATTATGACTTGTTAAGCACATTTTTACTCCTGAACTTATTTAGGCTTGCCATAAGGGGTTGAATATTTATTGACTCAAGACCTTTCAGCTTTTCATTTGTAATTAATTTGTAAACATTTCGAAAAACATAATTCCACTTTGACATTATGGGGTATTGTGTTTAGGCCAGTGACCAAAAATCTCAATTTAATCAATTTTACATTCAGGCTGTAACACAACAAAATGTGGAAAAAGTCAAGGGGTGTGGATATTTTCTGAAGGCACTGTATATTGCGGGCTTCCTGGGATGTGCTTTTGTATGTTATTGCTGTAAGAGCGAGTTAGCTAGCATGCTCTAATTGTAATGGTCGCATTAGCTCCCTGCTAATTCACAGTTATTTCCATGCTAACAGACAAATCACTAATCTACAGCCCTCAACATACTGTTGTCCTGCATATCTAATGCGCTTCCTTGTCTCCATCGTCAAAATAAACACCAATCAACTGGGATCTCTGGCTGGACATTCCTTTCTTTAAAAACACAACGCAAGAGAGTTACTTACAAAGTACGATCACATCTGTTACACATACGATCACATCTGTTAACCCCCCCCACACACACACACATACAGTATACTCACGGAACATGGTCATGTACTGCAGTGGCTGTAGATGCCAGCTTCCCCATAGCGTGTTGTAACCGTGGCTACGGGCATACGTCCCTAGGTTGAAAGCCGGTTCCGTACCAAAAGAGTCAAGGATTCGGAAGCAGCATCTGGAGAGAGGAAGAAATGTATCATCATAGGCCTATTTCATAGTGTTGAACACTATCTTATGTGACTTGAAATGATGTGGAAAAACTGTCTTGAATCTAGTACTTACGAATTTGCTTCATGGTAATTACATTGTAATGATATTTATTGTTACAGTACCTTGGAATAAGGCTAATGTAATGCAACATGTTAACAAAATTAACCAAAGTGTCGTTACTGGTAGTGTTGGAAGGCCAGCCCCATGGCTCCCTGGAGATGGGCGAGGCCGTGGTAGTCTGTATAGATGAGGTCAAAGGGCAGGGGCCTCTGGATGGGGCAGCTTCCTTTGCCCGGGGCTGCACCTATCACACTGCTCCACCAAACACAAACAAACACTCAGTCATGGTGAGATAGAACTCAAAGTGACAATGCATTGTGAGAGCTTTAAATTGTCAAAGGATGATGATTATTCATGATTAGATCAGTCTTCAATATATTTAAATGGATATGAAAAGCCATGATGTTGTTGGATATCAAGGTATTAGACATATTTATATTAAAAGGTGTGTAAAGCACACCTTGAATCCTGTACTTCCTGCTTGCCTTCCTGGTTATGGGTTCACTTAATATGGCCGCTGACCCATCCATCACAGAACATTGACTTGAATGGGGATTGCCATTATACAGTGGGGGAAAAAAGTATTTAGTCAGCCACCAATTGTGCAAGTTCTCCCACTTAAAAAGATGAGAGAGGCCTGTAATTTTCATCATAGGTACACGTCAACTATGACAGACAAAATGAGAGAAAGAAATCCAGAAAATCACACTGTAGGATTTTTTATGAATATATTTGCAAATTATGGTGGAAAATAAGTATTTGGTCAATAACAAAAGTTTCTCAATACTTTGTTATATACCCTTTGTTGGCAATGACACAGGTCAAACGTTTTCTGTAAGTCTTCACAAGGTTTTCACACACTGTTGCTGGTATTTTGGCCCATTCCTCCATGCAGATCTCCTCTAGAGCAGTGATGTTTTGGGGCTGTCGCTGGGCAACACGGACTTTCAACTCCCTCCAAAGATTTTCTATGGGGTTGAGATCTGGAGACTGGCTAGGCCACTCCAGGACCTTGAAATGCTTCTTACGAAGCCACTCCTTCATTGCCCGGGCGGTGTGTTTGGGATCATTGTCATGCTGAAAGACCCAGCCACGTTTCATCTTCAATGCCCTTGCTGATGGAAGGAGGTTTTCACTCAAAATCTCACGATACATGGCCCCATTCATTCTTTCCTTTACACGGATCAGTCGTCCTGGTCCCTTTGCAGAAAAACTGCCCCAAAGCATGATGTTTCCACCCCCATGCTTCACAGTAGGTATGGTGTTCTTTGGATGCAACTCAGCATTCTTTGTCCTCCAAACACGACGAGTTGAGTTTTTACCAAAAAGTTCTATTTTGGTTTCATCTGACCATATGACATTCTCCCAATCCTCTTCTGGATCATCCAAATGCACTCTAGCAAACTTCAGACGGGCCTGGACATGTACTGGCTTAAGCAGGGGGACACGTCTGGCACTGCAGGATTTGAGTCCCTGGCGGCGTAGTGTGTTACTGATGGTAGGCTTTGTTACTTTGGTCCCAGCTCTCTGCAGGTCATTCACTAGGTCCCCCCGTGTGGTTCTGGGATTTTTGCTCACCGTTCTTGTGATCATTTTGACCCCACAGGGTGAGATCTTGCGTGGAGGCCCAGATCGAGGGAGATTATCAGTGGTCTCGTATGTCTTCCATTTCCTAATAATTGCTCCCACAGTTGATTTCTTCAAACCAAGCTGCTTACCTATTGCAGATTCACTCTTCCCAGCCTGGTGCAGGTCTACAATTTTGTTTCTGGTGTCCTTTGACAGCTCTTTGGTCTTGGCCATAGTGGAGTTTGGAGTGTGACTGTTTGAGGTTGTGGACAGGTGTCTTTTATACTGATAACAAGTTCAAACAGGTGCCATTAATACAGGTAACGAGTGGAGGACAGAGGAGCCTCTTAAAGAAGAAGTTACAGGTCTGTGAGAGCCAGAAATCTTGCTTGTTTGTAGGTGACCAAATACTTATTTTCCACCATAATTTGCAAATAAATTCATAAAAAATCCTACAATGTGATTTTCTGGAGAAAATAAATCTAAATTTGTCTGTCATAGTTGACGTGTACCTATGATGAATATTACAGGCCTCTCTCATCTTTTTAAGTGGGAGTACTTGCACAATTGGTGGCTGACTAAATACTTTTTTTCCCCACTCTAGTAATTCTATTTCTATGGTGTGTTACCTGTGCAGGTGGTTCTGGGAGGTGGTAAAGGTCAGATTGTGACCCAGGATGAAGAGAGAGGCACTGAGGTCAGCCCACTGCACCAGCTCCCCCAGAGGCCCCCCTCGATCCACCATGGCCCCGAACCGCTGGCCCGCACCGCCAGACAGGACCCCCGGGTACAGCAGGACCTAGAAAGGGGGAGAACATGGAGTTGGAGGACGATGATTATTCATGATTAGATCAGTGTTCAATATATTTAAATGGATATGCAAAGCCACGATGTTGTTGGATATCAAGGTATTAGAAATATTTCTAGCACCTGGGGGCACATACAGAAATAACTTTTAAAACACAGCCTTATTTGAGTATATAGAGGTTTTATCACTTCAATATTACACATTCAGCAATCATCCCACCAACATATCAGTGCAAGCACTATGACTATCCTGTCAGGGCCGTGTAGAAATGGTGTGGTGTGGAATCAAGTGCAGAAGCAGAAAGAGAGTCCAAAATACTTTACTGGGAAAAGCGAGTCAATAATCCCAAAATAGCCAGAGGCACAACGCACACAGGCGTAAAACAGAGGCGCGCAAATAAACAGGCGCGTAAAACTCCTCAACCGAGAAGTAAGCAAAATACAGAGGTGGCGTACCAAACACCGGTACGAAAACGACACCAACACGAAACAATTACACACAACACAACACTCACAACAGGGAAACTAAATAGGGTGCCCAATTAGACAAAACACAAGACAGGTGTGACTACCAGACCAAACTAGTCAAACAGAAAACATAGAGCGGTGGCAGCTAGTACTCCGGAGACGACGAACGGCGAAACCTGCCCGAACACGGAGGAGGAGCTGCCTCGGCCGAAACCGTGACAGTACCCCCCCCTTGACGCGCGGCTCCAGCCGTGCGCCGACTCCGGCCTCGGGGACGCCCAGGAGGGCGCGGCGCCGGGCGCGTAGGATGACCACGATGGAATTCGGTCATCAGGGACGGATCCAGAATATCCCTCCTCGGCACCCAGCACCGTTCCTCCGGACCGTACCCCTCCCACTCCACGAGATATTGGAGACCCCCCATCCGGCGTCTGGAATCCAGGATGGTCCGAACAGTGTACGCCGGAGCCCCCTCGATCTCCAACGGGGGCGGAGGAGTCTCCTCAATCTCGAAGTCCTGGAGTGGACCAGCTACCACCGGCCTGAGGAGAGACACATGGAATGAGGGGTTAATATTCTTGTAATCAATAGGTAGTTCTAACCTGTAACACACCTCATTCAATCTCCTCAGGACTTTAAAAGGCCCCACAAACCGCCGACCCAGCTTCCGGCAGGGCAGGCGGAGGGGTAGGTTCCTGGTTGAGAGCCAGACTCGATCTCCAGGTGCGTACACTGGCCCCTCACTGCGGCGTAGGTCGGCGCTCGTCTTTTGTCGACGTATGGCACGCTGCAGATGGACATGAGCAGCGTTCCACGTCTCCTCCGAGCGCCTTACCCACTCATCCACAGCGGGGGCCTCGATCTGGCTCTCATGCCACGGTGCCAGAACCGGCTGATACCCTAAGACACACTGAAAAGGGGTTAGTCTAGTGGAGGAGTGGCGGAGAGAGTTCTGTGCCATCTCGGCCCAGGGCACATATCTCGCCCACTCCTCCGGCCGGTCCTGACAGTATGACCTCAGAAACCTACCCACATCCTGGTTGACTCTTTCGACCTGCCCATTGCTCTCCGGGTGGTAACCCGAGGTAAGGCTCACCGAGACCCCCAAACGTTCCATAAAAGCTCTCCAGACTCTGGAGGTAAACTGGGGGCCTCGATCAGACACTATATCCTCGGGTACCCCGTAATGCCGGAAGACGTGAGTAAATAGAGCCTCAGCGGTCTGTAGGGCAGTAGGAAGACCCGGCATGGGAAGGAGACGACAGGCCTTAGAGAACCGATCCACAACGACCAGGATGGTGGTATTCCCCTGGGAGGAGGGAAGATCGGTAACAAAATCCACCGATAGATGAGACCAGGGTCGCTGTGGAACGGGCAGGGGCTGTAATTTACCCCTGGGCAAATGTCTGGGTGCCTTACACTGGGCACATATTGAGCAGGAGGAGACATAAACCCTCACATCCCTGGCTAATGTTGGCCACCAGTACTTCATGCTAAGGCAGTGCACCGTCCGGCCAATACCCGGATGTCCAGAGGAGGGAGACGTGTGAGCCCAATAAATCAACCGGTCCCGGACCTCGAGCGGGACGTACGTCCGACCCACCGGACACTGTGGAGGACTCGGGTCGGTACGCAACGCCCGCTCGATCTCCGCATCAACCTCCCACACCACCGGTGCCACCAGACACGACTCCGGTAGTATGGGAATGGGCTCCACGCACCTCTCCTCCGCGTCATACCGGCGGGACAGAGCATCTGCCTTCCCGTTCTGGGACCCAGGGATGTAAGTGATCTTAAACACAAACCGGGCGAGAAACATAGTCCATCGAGCCTGGCGAGGATTTAGTCTCCTAGCTGCCCGAATATATTCCAGGTTACGGTGATCGGTCAGAATAAGGAAAGGGTGCTGAGCCCCCTCAAGCCAATGCCTCCACACCTTTAGGGCCTGGACTACGGCTAACAGCTCCCTGTCCCCTACGTCATAATTCCGCTCCGCCGGACTGAGCTTTTTAGAATAAAAAGCACAGGGGCGGAGCTTAGGTGGTGTACCCGAGCGTTGAGATAGAACGGCCCCAATACCAGCCTCGGACGCGTCTACCTCAACTTGAAACGGTAAAGTGGGATCCGGGTGCGCCAACACCGGAGCCGAGGTAAACAGGTCCTTCAGCTTACCAAAAGCCCTGTCCGCCTCAGCCGACCACTGCAAGCGCACCGGACCCCCCTTCAGAAGAGACGTGATGGGAGCTGCCACCTGACCAAAACCCCGGATAAACCTCCGGTAGTAATTTGCAAACCCCAAAAACCGCTGCACCTCTTTAACTGTCGTTGGGGTTTGCCAATTACGCACGGCGGACACTCGGTCCACCTCTATTCTCACCCCTGACGCAGACAACTGGTAACCCAAAAAGGAAACTGACTCCTGGAAGAACAGACATTTCTCAGCCTTGACATACAGGTCATGCTCCAACAGTCTCCTCAATACTTTGCGCACCAGGGCTACATGCTCGGCCCGGGTAGGGCTGTACACCAGAATATCATCAATGTACACCACCACCCCCTGCGCCTGCATGTCCCGGAAAATTTCATCTACAAATGATTGGAAGACTGATGGAGCATTCATTAACCCATATGGCATGACCAGATACTCGTAATGGCCGGATGTAGTACTAAATGCTGTCTTCCACTCATCGCCCTCCCTAATGCGCACCAAATTATATGCGCTCCTGAGGTCCAATTTTGTGAAGAACCGTGCCCCGTGTAGTGACTCCGTCATAGTCCCAATCAGCGGGAGTGGATAACTGTATTTAACCGTCACCTGATTGAGACCGCGGTAATCAATACACGGACGCAGACCTCCATCCTTTTTCTTCACAAAAAAGAAGCTCGAGGACGCGGGAGACGTAGAGGTCCGTATGTATCCCTGTCTCAGAGACTCGGCAATGTACGTCTCCATTGCTTTTTTCTCCTCCTGTGACAAAGGATACACATGGCTCCGCGGGAGCGCTGCTCCTATCTGGAGGTCTATCGCACAATCCCCCTGTCTATGAGGTGGCAACCTTGCCGCTCGGGTCTTACTAAACACAAGTGCCAAATCCTCATACTCAGGAGGAATGTGCAGTGCTGACATCTGGTTCGGACTCTCCACCGAGGTCGCCCCTATGGAAACACCCAGACAAAACCCCTCACACTGAGCAGACCACCCTCGAAGAGCCTTCTCTCGCCACGAAATAGTAGGATCATGGGTGGTTAACCAGGGAAGCCCCAGTACCACCGGATACGCAGGAGAGTCAATCAGATAGAGTTGAATCGTCTCCTCATGACCCCCCTGCGTCATCATCCTAAGTGGCGCTGTGAGCTCCCCAATCCACCCAGATCCTAACGGACGACTATCTAAAGCATGTACGGGGAAAGGTTTATCGACTGGAAGGAGGGGAATCCCTAACTTAACACAAAAATTTGCGATCTATAAAATTCCCAGCTGCGCCTGAATCGACTAGCGCCTTATGCTGGGAACGAGGTGCAACCTGTGGAAAACAAACAGGCAATGTAAAGTGGACGACAGAAAGCTCTGGGTAAGTAGGGGCGCCTACTCACCTGGGTGGACTCCCCACTGTATGGCCTGCCATCTCCCTCCTCAGGGAACCCTCCCCAGCACCTAGCCGCGGTGTGCCCTCCGCGGCCACACTTGGTGCAGGAGACTGCTCCCCTCGGGTTCCTTCCTCTTTTAGTTCTAGCGCCAGCCCCTCCCAGCTCCATCGGACTAGGCTCGGAGGTGCTGGAGGGTGAAATGGGAGGCCCCCATCTGGGACGTCCGCGGGTCGTGAGTAGGTTGTCCAGACGAATAGCCATGTCCACAAGCTGGTCAAAAGCGTCCCTACACGCTAACTCCCTGCGGACGTCCTCCCTAAGGCTACACCTAAAATGGTCTATGAGGGCCCTCTCATTCCACCCCGCGTCAGCCGCTAGAGTCCGGAACTCCAGTGCGAATTCTTGAGCGCTCCTCATCCCCTGTCGGAGGTGGAATAGACGTTCCCCCCGCCGCTCTTCCCTCTGGTGGATGGTCAAAGACCGCACGAAAGCGGCGGGAGAACTCCGCATAGGTGACTGTGGCGGAGTCTATTCCCCTCCATTCGGCGTTGGCCCACTCCAACGCCTTGCCGGTGAGACAGGAGATGAGGGCGGAAACGCTCTCGTATCCCGAGGGCGCCGGGTGTATAGTGGCTAGGTAGAGCTCCACTTGCAGAAGGAAGCCCTGACACCCGGCAGCGGAGCCGTCGTACGCCCTCGGGAGCGAGAGCCGAATCCCACTGGGTTCCGGTGGATGAGTAGGCAGGTTCTCTGGTGGTGATGGAGCGATCGGTGGGGCTGTGGGAACACCGCTGATCTCCCAGCGCCGAAGAGTGTCCATCACGCCCTCCAACGCGTGCCCGATCCGATTAATGCGATGTTCCTGTCCCTGGAGACGTTCCTCCACGCTGTCAACTTGTGCTCCTGCTGATTCCATCGAAGGGGTGTGTAATTCTGTCAGGGCCGTGTAGAAATGGTGTGGTGTGGAATCAAGTGCAGAAGCAGAAAGAGAGTCCAAAATACTTTACTGGGAAAAGCGAGTCAATAATCCCAAAATAGCCAGAGGCACAACGCACACAGGCGTAAAACAGAGGCGCGCAAATAAACAGGCGCGTAAAACTCCTCAACCGAGAAGTAAGCAAAATACAGAGGTGGCGTACCAAACACCGGTACGAAAACGACACCAACACGAAACAATTACACACAACACAACACTCACAACAGGGAAACTAAATAGGGTGCCCAATTAGACAAAACACAAGACAGGTGTGACTACCAGACCAAACTAGTCAAACAGAAAACATAGAGCGGTGGCAGCTAGTACTCCGGAGACGACGAACGGCGAAACCTGCCCGAACACGGAGGAGGAGCTGCCTCGGCCGAAACCGTGACATATCCTAAGGAATAGTAACTAAAAATAACTAAAGACATTAAAATATTACAGCAGGAGATAGGGGGATTATAAATATAGATGCAGTACGTGGGAGTTTGAAATCCGATGAACTTCAAAGTATGTTAACCCCATAGAATTACCTATTAGAACATAATTTAATAGGATTTCTGTGGTTAACCCACCCTCTTCTGCAGTGAAGTCGTCTTAGTGGTGTTCTCTCGTATCCTGTGTCCTGCCTTTATCCAGCATGCAGATAGCCTCTCCACCCTGGACCGGATGAACCTTCCTGCAGGACCCTGAATTCCACCAAACACCTCATACAACGGCCTCAGAGTCGTCCGGATCTCTGCCTGTGTGAAATAAAAAGCGATTATTGAACAACAACATGATAGTAGTACGAAAGTAGTGCATGCAAGTTAAAATTAGATAAATAATTAGATTGAGGGATGGCTTGCATCCAAATATGAAAGGGGCAAAAGTTCTCTCAGCCAACATTGAGGAGGCTTTTATAAATCATTGACTCAAAAGCAGCCCAACCCCTGCTCAGGTAACTCATCCCATTCCCTCTATTTCACAGCGTTATCATCGTACTATTACAGATAATCATCTCCCGATGGGTTTTGCCAGTAACAATCTTGTGACCATAAAAAAAAAATAATAATTGGGAAGCCCACTGTGGTAAGCTTGTCCAGTAATATTCTTTCAAATACCACAAAAATTGATACCCCCACTGTTTTCAAATCGCGTAGTTGGGTTGTTACATATCAACGTACAAAGTTTGATGTCAAAGATGGACCTTCTTGATATCTGGGTGCATGACTGACACGAGTCCGGATATTTTGGTTCTCACAGAGACTTGGATAAATGGATCGATCCCGGATAAGGACATTGCTGATTACAACATCTTCAGGAGTGACAGACTGAAAAAGGGGGAGGGGTGGCTATACACTACCAGTCAAAAGTTTGGACACACCTACTCGAAATGACTCGAGTCACCTGATACTCGAAATGACCCATCGGTGTATTGAAACCAGTCAACCACTCGTCACCCTCTCTGATCCGGACCAGATGATACGCATTGCGTAGGTCCAGCTTGGTGAACACCGTAGCACCCTGTAAGGAGTTGAAAGCAGAGCTCATCAAGGGCAGGGGATACTTGTTCTTGACCGTGATATCATTCAACCCCCGATAATCAATACAAGGTCGAAGAGAGCCATCCTTCTTACTCACAAAGAAGAATCCTGACCCCAGGGGTGATGACGAGGGATGAATGAGACCAGCAGCTAGGGACTCCTTTATGTAGGTCTCCAAAGCTTCACGTTCAGGTCGGGAGATGCTGTATAACCGTCCCTTGGGAAAGACAGCTCCAGGGAACAGGTTTATGGCACAATCATATGGTCGGTGGGGAGGGAGTGACAGAGCCCTATGCTTACTGAACACCTCCCCCAAATCGTGATATGTTTCGGGGACCAGGGACAAATCTGGGGGGGTTAGCCTCAATGACCTGACTGGGAACAGGCAGTCTTGAGGCAGTTAGCATGGCAATCAATGCTCCAACTAGTTACCTTGCCAGTCACCCAATCGAACGTGGGATTGTGTTCCTTCAGCCAGGGGTATCCAAGGACCAGAGGAACATGGGGAGAAGGCAGAATGAAGAATGAGATAACCTCAGAATGATTCCCTGACAACAGCATCTTAACCGGTTCAGTCCTCATCGTGATACGTGCCAGACTACTGCCGTTCAGAGTGGTAGCTTCAATGGCTTCCGGTAGTCGCTCCTTGGGAAGCCCCAGCTGTTCCACCACGTCGGCATCAATAAAGCTGCCATTGGCACCTGAATCGATGAAAGCGTTAATCGCTAAACTCTGATTCCTGTTCATGAGGGTAGCCGGGAAACGGGGTCTGACAGGGGTATTGAGAGGTTGAAACCGGCTCGCTAAAAGTCCTCCCAAACTTAGCGAGCCGGGCAGTTTGACGGCCGCTGGGAACAAGTGGAGATGTAGTGTCCCGAACTACCACAGTAGAGGCAGCGGTTGGTCTCACGTCTATGTTGGCGCTCCTCCTTGGTTAACCCGTGCCGCCCCACTTGCATGGGTTCAGAATCTGGAGGCAGGACCTCTCCACTAATCCCGTGTGGTGGACAAAGATCGACGCGTTCTGGTCCACCTCCTGACCCGACTGGGAACCGAGAAGCTGATTGATTGGACGGGCCCCATTGCTTCTCCCTCCTTCTCTCTCGAACTCTGTTATCCACCCGAATAGACAAAGCGACCAAACTGTCCAGGTCACTAGGCTCCGGATAGGAGATCAGCTCATCCTTGAGTTGCTCCGACAACCCCTGATAAAAGGCTGCTTGCAGTGACTCTTCATTCCATCCACTCTCCACAGCCAATGTCCTGAATTCGATAACGAAGTCGGCAACTCTGCGAGCTCCTTGGTGAAGAGAAAACAGGCGTTTAGCTGCGTCCTTACCTCGGACAGGATGGTCAAACAGCTTCCTCATCTCTGCCGTGAACTCCTGGTATGAAGCCATGCAGGTGTCCTGTCGTTCCCATACGGCTGAAGCCCACTCCAGGGCTCTACCACGCAGCAATTCAATGACAAAGGCTATCCTAGCCTTGTCTGTGGCATAAGAGTGGGGCTGTAGATCGAACACTAATCCACACTGCATAAGAAAGGAACGGCATCTTCCCAAATCCCCCTCATATTTATCAGGCGTCGGAACCTTGGGCTCACGGAAGGGCACAGCTCCAGAAGCGGCAGGCGAGATGGGTGAAACCGGTAGTGGATTCTCCACCGGCAAACTGAGCTGAGCCTGGATCTTCGTCAGACTGGTAGAAAAGTTCCGAACTGACAACGCTATCTCCTGTAGCGCCGTGCTATGTTGTCCCAACATCTTCTCCTGATGGGTAATGGCATGGCGAACAGAGTCCAGGTCCGCTGGGTTCATTTCTGGCCGGATCGTTCTGTCACGGTTCTCTAAGACCGAACCCAGAAGCAGACCAGGACAAGGTGAGTTGAACGAAGGTGAGTGTTTATTTACAGATTCAAAAGAATGCAGAATAATCCAGGAGACGGAGCGGGTGGCGGAGATGAGTAGGTGGAGGTGAAGTGGCAGATTAAATGATGGCACGGCAGGGGTTGGGTGAATGTTCCGGGAGAATGATGTTAATGGCTAACGATCCGGCAGGGAATGGATGTCAGGTCAGAGCTTAAGAAGGGGTGATGATCAGGACCAGGTGTGCCGAGGCTGATGAGAAGCAGGTGCGGGTAATCGAGAGATCACCCGCCTAGCAACGTCGCCCGGCAACCGGACAGAGTGCGTTCAGGAACCTTTGGGAACCTTTGGGAAAACAGGAGATACCGAGCAGAAAAACGGCAACCCAGGCAGGAACAGACTCAGGACGCAGGGTTCATGACATACTCATTCAAGGGTTTTTCTTTATTTTTACTATTTTTTACATTGTAGAATAATAATGAAGACATCAAAACTATGAAATAACACATATGGAATCATGTAGTAACCAAAAAAGTGTTAAACAAATCAAAATATATTTTATATTTGAGATTCTTCAAATAGCCACCTTTTGCCTTGATGACAGCTTTGCACACTCTTGGCATTCTCTCAACCAGCTTCATGAGGTAGTCACCTGGAATGTATTTCAATTAACAGGTGTGCCTTCTTAAAAGTTAATTTGTGGAATTTCTTTCCTTCTTAATGTGTTTGAGCCAATCAGTTTTGTTGTGACAAGGTAGGGGGGTATACAGAAGATAGCCCTATTTGGTGAAAGACCAAGTCCATATTATGGCAAGAACAAATAAGCAAAGAGAAATGACAGTCCATCATTACTTTAAGACATGAAGGTCAGTCAATACGGAAAATTTCAGTCGCAAAAAGCATCAAGTGCTATGATGAAACTGGCTCTCATGAGGACCGCCACAGGAATGGAAGACCCAGCGTTGAACTTAGAGTTAACAGCCTCAGAAATTGCAGCCCAAATAAATGCTTCACAGAGTTCAAGTCACAGACACATCTCAACATCAACTGTTCAGATGGGACTGTGTGAATCAGGCCTTCATGGTCAAATTGCTACAAAGAAACCACTACTAAAGGACACCAATAATAAGAAGAGACCTGCTTGGGCCAAGAAACACGAGCAATGGACATTAGACAGGTGGAAATTTGTCCTTTGGTCTGGAGTCCAAATTTGAGATTTTTGGTTCCAACCGCGGTGTCTTTGTGAGACGCGGTGTGGGTGAACGGATGATCTCCGTATGTGGGGTTCCCACCGTAAAGCATGGAGGAGGAGGTGTTATGGTGTGGGGGTGCTTTGCTGGTGACACTGTCTGTGATTTATTTAGAATTCAAGGCACACTTAACCAGCATGGCTACCACAGCATTCTGCAGCGGTACGCCATCCCTTCTGGTTTGGGCTTAGTGGGACTATCATTTGTTTTTCAACAGGATAATGACCCAACACACCGCCAGGCTGTGTAAGGGCTATTTTATCAAGAAGAAGAGTGATGGAGTGCTGCATCAGATGACCTGGCCTCCACAATCCCTCGACCTCAACCCAATTGAGATGGTTTGGGATGAGTCGGACGGCAGAGTGAAGGAAACGCAGCCAACAAGTACTCAGCATATGTGGGAACTCATTCAAGACTGGTGTGAAAGCATTCCAGGTGAAGCTGGTTGAGAGAATGCCAAGAGTGTGCAAAGCTGTCATCAAGGCAAAGGGTGGCTATTTGAAGAATGTCAAATTTAACACTTTTTTGGTTACTACATGATTCCATATGTGTTATTTCATAGTTTTTATGCCTTCACTATTATTCTACAATAGTACAAATAAAGAAAAAGAGTAGGTGTGTCCAAACTTTTGACTGGTGCTGTATTTGTCAAATCAACTCGTGGCATGTTCTCTAAATATCACTATCCCAAATTTTTTTTAGCTTTTGGTTATTGATTTGTCCATAAGCCAAAATACACATGTATCTATTGATGACATTTACCCCCTTCTTCAAGCCCTCACAAATTGGTGGTTGATCCTTGCTAGACAACCATTTTCAGGTCTAGATTTTCACGCAGATTTAAGTCAAAACTGTAACTCGGCCACTCAGGAACATTCACTGTCTTCTTGGTAAGCAACTCCAGTGTAGATTTGGCCTTGTGTTTTACGTTATTGTCCTGCTGAAAGGTGAATTCATATCCCAGTGTCTGGTGGAAAGCAGACTGAACCAAGTATTCCTCTAGGATTTTGCCTGTGCTTAGCTTCATTCCGTTTATTTTTTATCCTGAAAAACACCCCAGTCCTTAACGATTACAAGCATACCCATAACATGATGCAGCCACCACTATGCTTGAAAATATGGCGAGTACTCAGTACTCCGTAATGTGTTGTATTGGATTTGCCCCAAACATAACACTTTGTATTCAGGACAAAAAGTTAATTGCTTTGTGCCTTGTTGCAAACAGGATGCATGTTTTTGAATATTATTATTCTGTACAGGCTTCCCTCTTTTCACGTTGTCAATTAGGTTAGTATTGTGGAGTAACTACAACGTTGTTCATCCATCCTCAGTTTTCTCCTATCACAGCCATTGTAACTGTTTTAAATTCACCATTGGCCTCATGCTGAAATCCCTGAGCGGTTTTCTTCCTCTCCGGCAACTGAGTTAGAAAGGATGCCTGTATCTTTATAGTGTCTGGGTATATTAATACACCATCCAAAATGTAAATAATAACTTCACCATACTCAAAGGGATATTCAGTGTCATTTTTTATTTTATTTTTACCCATCTACCAATAGGTGCCCTTCTTTGCGAGGCATTGGAAAACCTCCCTGGTCTTTGTGGTTGAATCTGTGTTTGAAATTCACTGTTCAACTGACGGACCTTACATATACAGTAATTGTATGTGTGGGGTACAGAGATGAGGTAGTCATTCAAAATTCATGTTAAACACTATTGTTGCACACAGAGTGAGTCCATGCAACTTATGATGTGACTTGTTAAGCAAATTTTTACTCATCCATTAATTAAGCTTGCCATAACAAAGGTGTTGAATACTAATTGACTCAAGACATTTAAACTTTTCATTTCGAATTAATTTGAAAAAAAATTGAAAAACATAATTATTTGTGTGTAGGTAGGTCAGTGACAAAAAAAGCTAAATTTAATCAATTATAAATTCAGACTGTAATACAACAAAATGTGGAAAAAGTCAAGAGGTGTGAATACTTTCTGAAGGCACTGTAGATTATTAAAACATTTCCCCACAAGCTTTTCTTCATGATATGTGTTACTCTGACTTCTCCTCTATCAGCTGCATGCCTAACCCTGAATTAACTCTAGAATTGTTCTCATCTATTTTTATCTCTCTGGCAGAAAAACACACTCACTTTAAACGCCTTAGAGTAAGAAATATAACAAATCTTTGGTTCTCTATAGAACTTTCAGATCTTTTTAAGATAAGAAATCAGGAAAAACTGACTCTGTAGCTGATTGGCATCTTTTCAGGCAATTGAGAAATAGATGCACTTTCTCAATCAAGAAAGCTTCTAGTGATCTGTCGAAATTTTGGAAAACAGTTAATTAATGCACTGTAGCGTGGAAATTCCTCTCCTTCCCTGCCTAAGCAAGTTATCTCAGACTCTGGCATCATTACTGAGAAAAATGAGATAAATAGTGTTTTTAATCAGCATTTTATCTCGGCAGGCTTTTTATTTGAAAGAAATTGTGGTTTAATTGACCCTGGTCAGCCAGTCGACTGCCTGCCCTTCTCCCAGCCTCTAGTTGGCTTCTGGTGAATCTTTGTTTTCATTTCAACAACTTTCTACTCGTAATGTGCCAGACGCCTTGCGCAAGATTGGTGTAAAAAACACTGGGGCTGATTTGCTTGATCCTTTCTTGCTGCAGCTTTCTGCTCCTCTGATTGCAGAATCTTAAACAAATATTTGTAACCTTACAATTATTTCTGGTACCATCCCCAGGGTCTGGAAGGCGGCCCATATACTCCCCCTTCACAAAGGTGGTGACCCGTGTGACCGAAATAATTATCGTCAGAGCTTAATGTCAGAGCTTCAATCTGCTTTATAGCCCTGCAGAAAGCCTTGGTCGAACTGAAATTGGTACTTGATGGAGATCCCTTCAATGTCCACTGAGTTAGGTAAATCTGCTTTAAAAAAATGTACCGCCTCATGTGGAATGATCTCCAAAAGTCCTTGAAGTTGGTGCCTCTAGGGCAGGGATGGGCAACTTTGATGGGGGTGGGTGCCAAAAAAAAACGGAACTCAACATGAGGGGCCACAGTGGCTCATGGGTCTGCATACCTACATCCTTGTGTATTCTATTATTCTAACTCTCAACAGTACGTTTTTTATTTGTTATTTTATTGGTCCATGGGCCTAGCCCCTCCCGGCTCTAGGGCAATTCAGGCGGATGTTAGAGGGCCTTTTTACTGAATAATGTGTTTGTTTCATATGTATTGTGTAATTGATGTGTATATATATATGTGTAGTGTAATTGATGTTTATTGATGTGTTTATGCAGGGCTCATCTGCGAAAGAGACAGTGGTCTCAGCATGACTCCCTGCTTAAATAAAAGGTTAAATAAAAAATGTCTCGACAAAAGGCTACTAAAACCATCACCATATGTTCAGTGAAGTCCATAAACATTGTTTTTCCATGATAGATTTTGATAGTCATAATACCTATGCCAAGTGACATTCAACCTGTTCTAAAGCTACCTCCTCTTTGTGGGTGCGTGGTTGCTGGTGCCATGGTAGTGCTGAATGGTTTCTTCCAGGGCGGGGGGGACAGAAGTCTTCTCTCTCACTCAGGTAGGTCATGATGGAGCAGGTGGTACCATCCACCCCGTAGAAAGCATAGCAGGGGTCTGAGTCCCAACGGGCTTGCAGGAACTGGGAATGTAACGCCAAAGTGTTTGTGTTCGAAAACAAAGAGATAGAGACAGAAAAATAGGTTTGTGACAACATTGACAGGAGAAACGTTGACTTCATGGGCACAACAACAAAAACAGATTTAGCATTTACATGCTTAACTGTCAACTGATCGTGTTGTGACTCACCTCAACTTTCTCAGCACAGTGGGGATACACAGGGTCTTCGGGCACCTCACAAACCTCATGGAGACCTGACAAAATAGATTGTTGTGATATTATATAAAATTATACTTTATTTGACCAACAACCTCTGTGCTGCTCAGAGTACTCAGTGGGTAATAAACTTGAATCAGCACTCGATTCCTACACTGTAAAACATAAATGTTGATTCAACATACAATTGTAAGGCAACCAGCTGCATTAGGATTGCGAGTTTGCTTAACATTTGGGCATATAGCCCAAGTTGAGTGAACATACAATTCAACTTGAGAACTAAATCTACCCTTTTTGCATATTTCCCAGTTTAAATCTATGACAATACATTACATATATCATAAGGCCTTTCTTTGAGGGCCTAGTTACAACCTAACGCAGTGGTCTGAAACGCTTGGTTTACAGGCCACATCAAGCCTGCAAGTCACATTATGCTGGCTTGCAAAGTGATGTGTAAACCACTCCAGCCAGAGTGAGGATATCCAACAATTGGAACTTTTAATTGCCTGCAACCTGCATTGAGAATGACTGCCAGCGTAGAGAAGATTGATTATTGAGTCTACCTAAAGCTTATAAACTGGAACAGCCATCTCAGAACAGCCATTTTCAATGGAAAAAGTTAAACTACTAACAGATTGGATTCGTTTAGAAAAATATATGTTATTATGTTTGTGTGGTAGGGATGTAACGATTCACATATGCATCGGTCCCCGGTTCAAATGTTTAAGATATGAGTGCATTGGTAAAGTTGCTTCAACAAAGTACTGAGTAAAGGGTCTGAATACTTATGTAAATAAAGTGTCTGTTTTTTATTTTTGATAACTTTGCAAACATTTCTAAAAACCTGTTTTCACTTTGTCATTATGGGGTATTGTGTGTAGATTAATGAGGACATTTCAGAATAAGGCTGTAACGTAACAAAATGTGGAAAAAGTCAAGGGGTCTGACTTTTTACTTTCCGAATGCACTGTATATGGTCATTTTTAGATATACAGGTTGATAATTTCATAACGAGGACAGCAATCTTTTTTGCTACCCGCACTGCATGGTCAAAGCTGGAGAACAAGAGAAGCTCACTGAGTTGGTCAAAACTTCCAAAAGGTCTAAGCCATTAGATTATGAGATTGGGGTGAAATCCAAAGTTGTGCTACAGTTGAAGTCGGAAGTTTACATACATCTTAGCCAAATACATTTAAACTCAGTTTTTCACAATTCCTGACATTTAATCATAGTACAAATTCCCTGTCTTAGGTCAGTTAGGATCACCACTTTACTTTAAGAATGTGAAATGTCAGAAGAATAGTAGAGACAATGATTTATTTCAGCTTTTATTTATTTCATCACATTCCCAGTGGGTCAGAAGTTTACATACACTCAATTAGTATTTGGTAGCATTGCCTTTAAATTGTTTCACTTGGGTCAAACGTTTCGGGTAGCCTTCCACAAGCTTCCCACAATAAGTTGGGTAAATGTTGGCCCATTCCTCCTGACAGAGCTGGTGTAACTGAGTCAGGTTTGTAGGCCTCCTTGCTCGCACACGCTTTTTCAGTTCTGCCCACAAATGTTCTATAGGATTGAGGTCAGGGCTTTGTGATGGCCACTCCAATACCTTGACTTTGTTGTCCTTAAGCCATTTTGCCACAACTTTGGAAGTATGCTTGGGGTCATTGTCCATTTGGAAGACCCATTTGCGACCAAGCTTTAACTTCCTGACTGATGTCTTGAGATGTTGCTTCAATATATCCACATTATATTCCTTCCTCATGATACCATCTATTTTGTGAAGTGCACCAGTCCCTCCTGCAGCAAAGCACCCCCACAGCATGATGCTGCCACCCCCGTGCTTCACGGTTGGGATGGTGTTCTTCGGCTTGCAAGCAGCCCCCTTTTTCCTCCAAACATAACGATGGTCATTATGGCCAAACAGTTCTATTTTGGTTTCATCAGACCACAGGACATTTCTCCAAAAAGTACGATCTTTGTCCCCATGTGCAGTTGCAAACCGTAATCTGGCTTTTTTATGGTGGTTTTGGAGCAGTGGCTTCTTCCTTGCTGAGCGGCCTTTCAGGTTATGTCGATATAGGACTCGTTTTACTGTGGATATAGATACCTTTGTACCTGTTTTCTCCAGCATCTTCACAAGGTCCTTTGCTGTTGTTTTGGGATTGATTTGCACCAAAGTACGTTCATCTCTAGGAGACAGAACGCGTCTCCTTCCTGAGCGGTATGACGGCTGCGTGGTCCCATAATGTTTATAATTGCGTACTATTGTTTGTACAGATGAACGTGGTACCTTCAGGCGTTTGGAAATAATCTATCTGTAAACAATTGTTGGAAAAATTACTTGTGTCATGCACAAAGTAGATGTCCTAACCGACTTGCCAAAACTATAGTTTGTTAACAAGAAATTTGTGGAGTGGTTGAAAAACGAGTTTTAATGACTACAACCTAAGTAATAATAATATGCCATTTAGCAGACGCTTTTATCCAAAGCGACTTACAGTCATGCGTGCATACATTTTTGTGTATGGGTGGTCCCGGGGATCGAACCCACTACCCTGGCGTTACAAGCGCCGTGCTCTACCAGCTGAGCTACAGAGGACCACAAGTGTATGTAAACTTCCGACTTCAACTGTATATATTAATTGGCTATATCATAGATCATTTTTAAAGATAAATATTGATACATTACAAGCCCTAACACTTTTTTAATCAAATCGCATTGAACCGCATTGATTCGCATCGATTCGTTTCTCTAATCAAACCAAATCGCACCGAATCGCTTGAATCTAAAACGTATCGTTCCTGCATCTAAATACATATTGAATCGTCTTGAAAGGGAAAGATGCACATCCCTATTTTGTAGCATAAGATTAATCAACCAATCAATGTACATGCAGAAACACAGATATTGTCACGCCCTGACATAGAGATCTCTAGTTGGGTTGGTCAGGGTGTGAATATCTATGTGAATATCTATGTTGTCTCTGATTGGGGATCATACTTAGGCAGCCATTTTGCCTACCTATGTTGTGGGATCTTGTTTCTGTTTGGCTTGTTGGATGTTTAGCCTTTTGAACTTCACGGTCTGTTGGGTTTTGTTAGTGTTTATATAATAAACGACTATGTACGCATACCACGCTGCACCTTGGTCCAATCTTTTATACAACGAATGTGACAGGTATTGAAACAAACAATTCTGAAAATGAACCTGCAATAGAGCATGCTGGGAAATATGATAATGATGGCCATGGTTTTGAGCAAACATACATTTGTAATTTTACTCAACAAGCTTGTTAGAATTTAGCTCACTTCGAGCAGTTTGTTGATTCAACGTACAATTGAAAGGCAACAGCTGCAATAGGATTATGAACATGAATTTGTAATTCGACTCAACAAGTTTTTATACTCACTATGAGCAAAGTTTGTTGAGTTAACAAACTTTATTTGAACACGCGTTAGCTCAATTTCTTGTTCTTTCAAAGTCCACCCAACTCAGAATAACGCTGATTAGGCAATTGGTTAAGTTGGCTTTTTTACAGTGTAGCATTCTATAGCATGAGAAGAACCCCACTGTGTTCCCAAAGAGGCCCCTTCCCGTAAGCACTCCGCCTTCTTCCCCCTAGTGTCAATCACACACACACACACACACAACACACATAAACGTCAAACACACACATACACACACCTAACCCACCTGCCTCCCCCCACCCCAAACATTCTCCTTTACAATGCAGACCGTGCCAAAACACACAGGCCTTAGCTGTGTAAAACAACCTTGTAAAACAGGCAGAAAATAAAATAAAATCCCAGTCACAGCCACGGTGCGAAGGCTGAAAAAGCTGATGAGAAGATGAAAAAAAATCTGCATCTGAAAAAACACGCGTACGAGTCAACAGGCCATTGAAAGGGCTCCTGGGTAATTTGATCGCTCTTTATGGGGTCTGAGGTAATGTGAGGGGAAGAGAGGCAGGTCGGGAAGGAGGGTGGGCTGCTCGTGGTTGAGAAGTGTGTGTATGGAGGTGGGGGGGGGGGGGGGGGGATTGTGTGGCCTGCTTTGTATGAATCACCTTATTCAGGGTTTGTGAGCATTCACTTTCTCTCTTTCGCTCTCGCTCTCTCACCCTCCCTCTCTCTTTCAGTTTCTCGCTCTCTCTCGTTCTCTTTCTCTCTCCCTCCATCTCGCTCTCTCCCTTTCTGCCACTCTCCCCAGCTCCCCCCTCCGTCCTCACGTGGCAGGGTCGGCCCGTAACCCAACTCCCACCTAACACCTCTCCGGGGGGGTTTTAGGGGAGACGTAAAGCTTTTCCTCCTGGCGGCTTGCTCCACGCACGCACACACACACACCTCCATACACACACACACAAACACACAATCACACAGACAAACACACACACTCCGCTAGCTCTCTGGGACTCGTTAAACCCCTCATTCATCGGCCTTAAGGACTCCCTCCCTCATATTCACCTGTAGTCTCTCACCTTTGACCCCTACTGGCCAACGACCATCCCTTCTAGAATCCCAGGCTATTAACTTCACTATGTTGTTAATCTTTGAACTTGAACTATTGCACAGCCCTGAACTGCGGCCTCGTGTTAGAATATCAGAGTCTCTCCAGCCGATCTCTAAAGCACTATAGTCGACCAATAGTTTTATTGTGGTGAAATGGGGAGACTGGCTGCATTGGCTTAATGGCCAATGGCCACAGGTTAAATCAGGTGCCAACTCCAACAAAAGCATGTAGTCATTGCATCTTTACTAATGTGCTATGATAAGATATATTATATGCTATATGTTACTAAATGTAGTATGACGTTCTATGATAATATACACTGAGTGTACAAAACATTAGGAACACCTTCCATGACATAGACTGACCAGGTGAATCCAGGTGAAAGCTGCAGTATGATCCCTTATTGATGTCACTTGTTAACTCCACTTCAATCAGTGTAGATGAAGGGGAGGTGACAGGTTAAAGAAGGATGGTAAACCCTTGAGACAATTGAGACATGGATTGTGTGGGTGTGCCATTCAGAGGGTGAATGGGCAAGACAAAACATTTAAGTGTCTTTGAATGGAGTATGGTAGTAGGTACCAGTTGCACCGGTTTCTGTCAAGAACTGCAACGCTGCTGGGTTTTTCACGTTCAACAGTTTCCCACGTGTATCAATAATGGTCCACCACCTAAAGGACATCCAGCCAACTTGACACAACCATGGGAAGCATTGGAGTCAACATTGGTCCAGCATCCCTGCGGAATGCTTTCGACACCTTGTAGAGTCCATGCCCCGACGAATTGAGGCTGTTCTGAGGACAAAACGGGGGGGTGCAACTCAATATTAGGAAGGTGTTCCTAATGTTTGGTGTACTCAGTGTATAATAATATATGCCATTTAGCAGACGCTTTTATCCAAAGCATTTTACGTACGGTGGCCCCAGCGGAATTAAATAATTTTTTCCCCTCATCAATCTACACACAATACCCCATAATGACAAACGAAAACAGGTTTTTAGAAATGTTAGCAAATTTAAAAACAGAAATACCTTATTTACATAAGTATTCAGACACTTTGCTATGAGACTCAAAATGTAGGTGCATCCTGTTTCCATTGATCATCCTTGAGATGTTTCTACAATTTGATTGGAGTCCACCTGTGGTAAATTCAATTGATTGGACATGATTTGGAAAGGCACACACCTGTCTATATGAGGTCCCACAGTTGTCAGAGCAAAAACCAAGCCATGAGGTTGAAGGAATTGTCCCTAGAGCTCCGAGACAGGATTGTGTCGAGGCACAGATCTGGGGAAGGGTACCAAAAAATGTCTGCAGCATTGAAGGTCCCCAAGAACACAGAGGCCTCCATCATTCTTAAATGGAAGAAGTTTGGAACCACCAAGACTCTTCCTGGAGCTGGCCAAACTGAGCAATCGGGGGAGAAGGGCCTTGTTCAGGGAGGTGACCAAGAACCAGATGGTCATTCTGACAGAGCTCCAGAGTTCCTCTGTTGAGCTGGGAGAACCTTCCAGAAGGACAACCATCTCTGCAGCACTCCACCAATCAGGCCTTTATGGTAGAGTGGCCAGACGGAAGCCACTCCTTAGTAAAAGGCACATGACAGCTCGCTTGGAGTTTACCAAATGGCACCTAAAGGACTCTAACTAGTCATGATCGAGGGAAAGATGAATAGAGCAAAGTACAGAGAGATCCTTGATGAAAACCTGCTCCAGTGCTCTCAGGACCTCAGACTGGGGCAAAGGTTCACCTTCCAACAGGACAACGACCCTAAGCACACAGCCAAGACAATGCAGAAGTGGCTTCGGAAAAAGTACAGTGGGGAAAATAAGTATTTAGTCAGCCACCAATTGTGCAAGTTCTCCCACTTAAAAAGATGAGAGAGGCCTGTAATTTTCATCATAGGTACACGTCAACTATGACAGACAAAATGAGAGAAAAAAATCCAGAAAATCACACTGTAGGATTTTTTATGAATATATTTGCAAATTATGGTGGAAAATAAGTATTTGGTCAATAACAAAAGTTTCTCAATACTTTGTTATATACCCTTTGTTGGCAATGACACAGGTCAAACGTTTTCTGTAAGTCTTCACAAGGTTTTCACACACTGTTGCTGGTATTTTGGCCCATTCCTCCATGCAGATCTCCTCTAGAGCAGTGATGTTTTGGGGCTGTCGCTGGGCAACACGGACTTTCAACTCCCTCCAAAGATTTTCTATGGGGTTGAGATCTGGAGACTGGCTAGGCCACTCCAGGACCTTGAAATGCTTCTTACGAAGCCACTCCTTCGTTGCCCGGGCGGTGTGTTTGGGATCATTGTCATGCTGAAAGACCCAGCCACGTTTCATCTTCAATGCCCTTGCTGATGGAAGGAGGTTTTCACTCAAAATCTCACGATACATGGCCCCATTCATTCTTTCCTTTACACGGATCAGTCGTCCTGGTCCCTTTGCAGAAAAACAGCCCCAAAGCATGATGTTTCCACCCCCATGCTTCACAGTAGGTATGGTGTTCTTTGGATGTAACTCAGCATTCTTTGTCCTCCAAACACGACGAGTTGAGTTTTTACCAAAAAGTTATATTTTGGTTTCATCTGACCATATGACATTCTCCCAATCCTCTTCTGGATCATCCAAATGCACTCTAACAAACTTCAGACGGGCCTGGACATGTACTGGCTTAAGCAGGGGGAACACGTCTGGCACTGCAGGATTTGAGTCCCTGGCGGCGTAGTGTGTTACTGACGGTAGGCTTTGTTACTTTGGTCCCAGCTCTCTGCAGGTCATTCACTAGGTCCCGCCTGTGTGGTTCTGGGATTTTTGCTCACCGTTCTTGTGATCATTTTGACCCCACGGGGTGAGATCTTGCGTGGAGCCCCAGATCGAGGGAGATTATCAGTGGTCTTGTATGTCTTCCATTTCCTAATAATTGCTCCCACAGTTGATTTCTTCAAACCAAGCTGCTTACCTATTGCAGATTCAGTCTTCCCAGCCTGGTGCAGGTCTACAATTTTGTTTCTGGTGTCCTTTGACAGCTCTTTGGTCTTGGCCATAGTGGAGTTTGGAGTGTGACTGTTTGAGGTTGTGGACAGGTGTCTTTTATACTGATAACAAGTTCAAACAGGTGCCATTAATACAGGTAACGAGTGGAGGACAGAGGAGCCTCTTAAAGAAGAAGTTACAGGTCTGTGAGAGCCAGAAATCTTGCTTGTTTGTAGGTGACCAAATACTTATTTTCCACCATCATTTGCAAATAAATTCATTAAAAATCCTACAATGTGATTTTCTGGAGAAAAAAAATCTCAATTTGTCTGTCATAGTTGACGTGTACCTATGATGAAAATTACAGGCCTCTCTCATCTTTTTAAGTGGGAGAACTTGCACAATTGGTGGCTGACTAAATACTTTTTTCCCCCACTGTATCTGAATGTCATTGAACGGCCCAGCCAGAGCCCGGACTTGAACCCGATTGAACATCTCTGGAGAGACCTGAAAATAGCCGTGCAGCGACGTTCCCCATCCATCCTGACAGAGCTTGAGAGGATCAAATCAAATCAAATTTTATTTGTGACCTGTGCCGAATACAACAGGTGACCTTACAGTGAAATTATTACTTACAAGCCCTTAACCAACAATGCAGTTTTAAGAAAAATAAGAGTTAAGTAAAAAATAGATAAGTAAAAACAAAAAAAGAAGAAAAATAGAAAAATAACAAATTATTAAAGAGCAGCAGTAAAATAACAGTAGCGAGGCTATATACAGGTGGTACCGGCACAGAGTCAATGTGCGGAGGCACAGGTTAGTCGAGGTAATTGAAGTAATATGTACATGTGGGTAGAGGTAATAAACAGAGAGTAGCAGCAGCGTTGCAAATAGTCCGGGTAGCCATTTGACTAGCTGTTCAGGAGTCTTATGGCTTGGGGGGTAGAAGCTGTTAAGAAGCCTTTTGGACCTAGACTTGGCGCTCTGGTACCGTGCGGTAGCAGAGAGGACAGACTATGACTAGGGTGGCTGGAGTCTTTGGCTATTTCTAGGGCCTTCCTCTGACACCACCTGGTATAGAGGTCCTGGATGGCAGGAAGCTTGTTCCCAGTGATGTACTGGGCCGTACGCACTACATTTACATTTTAGTCATTTAGCAGACGCTCTTATCCAGAGCGACTTACAATTAGTGAGTGCATACATTTTCATACTGGCCCCCCGTGGGAAACAAACCCACAACCCTGGCGTTACAAGCGATCATGCTCTGAGCTACAGGGGACTACACTCTGTAGTGCCTTACGGTCGGTAGACCGAGCAGTTGCCATACCAGGCGGTGATGCAACCAGTCAGGATGTTCTCAATGGTGCAGCTGTATAACTTTTTGAGGATCTGAGGACCCATGCCAAATCTTTTCAGTCTCCTGAGGGGGAATAGGCTTTGTTGTGCCCTCTTCACGACTGTCTTGGTGGGTTTGGACCATGATAGTTTGTTGGTGATGTGGACACCAAGAAACTTGAAGCTCTCAACCTGCTCCACTACAGCCCCGTCGATGAGAATGGGGGCGTGCTCGGTCCTTATTTCCTGTACTCCACAATCATCTCCTTTGTCTTGATCACATTGAGGGAGAGGTTGTTATCCTGGCACCACACGGCCAGGTCTCTGACTTCCTCCCTATAGGCTGTCTCATCGTTGTCGGTAATCAAGCCTACCACTGTTGTGTCATCGGCAAACTTAATGATGGTGTTGCAGTCGTGCTTGGCCATGCAGTCATGGGTGAACAGGGAGTCCAGGAGGGGACTAAGCACGCACCCCTGAGGGGCCACCGTGTTGAGGATCAGCGTGGCAGATGTGTTGTTACCTACCCTTACCAGCAGGGGGCGGCCCGTTAGGAAGTCCAGGATCCAGTTGCAGAGGGAGGTATTTAGTCCCAGGGTCCTTAGCTTGGTGATGAGCTTTGAGGGCACCATGGTGTTGAACGCTGAGCTGTAGGCAATTAATAGCATTCTCACGTAGGTGTTCCTTTTGTCCAGGTGGGAAAGGGCAGTGTGGAGTGCAATAGAGATTGCATCATCTGTGGATCTGTTGGGGCGGTATGCAAATTGGAGTGGGTCTAGGGTTTCTGGGATAATGGTGTTGATGTGAGCCATGACCATGTCTGACCTGCGGCCTTTGTGAACTGTTGGACCTGTTTTAAAGGTCTTACTCACATCGGCTACGGAGAGTGTGATCACACATTCGTCCGGAACAGCTGATGCTTCATGCAGCTTGAGTTGTTTGCTTCCCCTCGAAGCGAGCATAGAAGTAATTTTAGCTTGTCTGGTAGGCTTGTGTCACTGGGCAGCTCGCAGCTGTGCTTCCCTTTGTAGTCTGTAATAGTTTGCAAGCCCTGCCACATCCGACGAGCTGCGGAGCCGGTGTAGTACGATTCAATCTTAGTCCTGTATTGACTCTTTGCCTGTTTGATGGTTCGTCGGAGGGCATAGCAGGATTTCTTATAAGCGTCCGGGTTAGAGTCCCGCTCCTTGAAACCGGCAGCTCTACCCTTTAGCTCAGTGCGGATGTTGCCTGTAATCCATGGCTTCTGGTTGGGGTATGTACGTTATGGTCACTGTGGGGACAACGTCATCGATGCACTTATTGATTAAGCCAGTGACTGTTGTGGTGTACTCCTCAATGCCATCGCAAGAATCCCGGAACATATTCCAGTCTGTGCTAGCAAAACAGTCCTGTAGCTTAGCATCTGCGTCATCTGACCACTTCTGTATTGAGCGAGTCACTGGTACTTCCTGCTTTAGTTTTTGCTTGTAAGCAGGAATCAGAAAGAATGGGAGAAACTCACCAAATATAGGTGTGCCAAGCTTGTACCCAAGAAGACTTGAGGCTGTAATTGCTGCCAAAGGTGCTTCAACAAAGTACTGAGTAAAGGGTCGGAATACTTATGTAAATGTGATATTTCAGTTTAAACATTTTAATACATTTGCAAAAGGTTCTAAAAACCTATTTTTGCTTTGTCATTATGGGGTATTGTGTGTAGATTGATGAGGGGGAAAAAAACAATTTAATCCATTTTAGAATAAGGCTGTAACGTAACAAAATGTGGAAAAAGTCAAGGGGTCTGAATACTTTCCGAATGCGCTGAATGTGATGTGGTTCCAATGTGGTTCCAAGTTTGGGGTTTGATTCCTGCATGGCCCCTCTGTACTGTAAGTTGCTTTTAATAATAAATGTATGTCTACTAAACAATCATATTGTATTATTATTAGTTAGAGAAAGGCTACGACCAGACCTGGTTGTGGTCCTACCTGTCTGTGGTCTGTGGTCGTCTTGTGGTCGCGGTGTGTGGGACTGATGACCGAGGCTGTCCAGTTTCTGGGCCATTCTCTGTAGCTCCATCTCCACGGACCGCACCAAGCCCTCCTGGTCCTGCCGGAGACTGGGTGACCACACAAGCACCACACACACACACACACACACACACACGCACACCACATGAGACTCACCAGAATAATCTAGTTTCAGTGCTGTGTGTCTGATATAATGTTGTGTTTATGTATTGAATATCAAATAAGATTATTTTAACTAGTTTGTTTTAGTGTGGATTTGTATTAGGAGTGTAGATGTACCTTTGCAGAAGGTTGGTGAGTTCCTCTTTAGCAGACTGGGGAGCGTCTCTCTCCCTCGTTAGCCGCTGCACCTGAGAGCTCAGAGCCTCTAAGCGTAGAGCCAGTCTTCGCACGCTGTGACCATGGTGACCTGAAAGTTTATATTATACACTGAGTGTACAAAACATTAGGAACCCCTGCTCTTTCCATGACATTGACTGACCAGGTGAATCCAGGTGAAAGCTATGATCCCTTATTGATGTCAATTGTTAAATCCACTTCAATCAGTGTAGATGAAGGGGAGGAGACAGGTTAAAGGATTTTTAAACCTTGAGACAATTGAGACATGGATTTTGTATGTGTGCCATTCAGAGGGTGAATGGGCAAGACAAAAGATTGAAGTGCCTTTGAACGGGGTATGGTAGTAGGTGCCATGCGCCGGTTTGATGTCAAGAACTGCAACACTGCTGGGGTTTTCATACTCAACAGTTTCCAGTGTGTCTCAAGAATGATCCACCACCCTAAGGACACTCAGCCAACTTGACACATTTATGGTAAGCACTGGAATCAACACGGGCCAGCATCCCTGTGGAACGCATTCGACACCTTATAGAGTCCATGCCCCGATGAATTGAAGCTGTTCTGAGGGAAAAAGGGGGTGCAACTCAATATTAGGAAGGTGTTCCTAATATTCTGTACAGTGAGTATATGTATATAGTCAGGATCTATTCCGTTACCATGTGACCTGAGTCTCTCTTTTGGTCAGGTCACATGGTCAGGGGAAATCCTGGCCCTGATCTGGTAACATATTGTATTGCACAGTAAAATTGCGCATACCCTTGAATATAATACCATTGAATACCATTGAGTATAATATTCACATCCTTTTTCACAGTCCATGCAGTCCATGTTATAATGGCACAGTGAGAAATACACAGAATTCTGAGACATGGACAGGTAATGGCATTAATCAAACACTCCAAATGGAGACCACTGAATGGACCACCTGTACACACATCATATTGTAAATGTCATAGCCAATCAGACCCTGTCCTAAAATAAAATACCAGATTACATCATTAACATCATCAACAGATTACATAATGCCATCTATTCTCGTTGACTTGAGTGATTATGCGAGGAAAAATAATTTTTTACAGTGAGACTGAAATGTTCAACATGCCTATTTTAGGACAGATGGCAAGAGTCATAATTCCTGACATGAAAATATTGTTGGAGTGGTAACTGGAGCTCTTCACATGACTTACGATATTCTCACGTGGCTTTGTGGTTTCAGAAACCTCCACCCCACACACACACACATGCAGGAAAGACACGCACGCACACACACACATACACACACAAATAGACACAGACATGGGCACACATGCACACACACCCACACACATAGACACACTCCTAGACATAAGTTAATGTTTACACAGACGCCATAATGGGTAACGCTGGCCCGTGACTCAACTTGATGACATCACCCTCAGTTCTAAAGTCATATTGAGGTCAGGTTCGTTTCAACATTCTCTCCCTAACACTGCCATTTCATATTAGCTTGTACTGTAAGACATTGCCCATCATCATGTGTAGTGCTTCACTCTTTGTACACTGTACTCTAGTGTATGCCAAAACACATTGCAACATTTGCAGCCTCAATATTGATGCCTTGTATGAAACTATGCCATTTGAATTCTCTGCTGGATCCCCAAAAAATGGATGGATGACCTATGCTCCCAACATAGAGTAAAAAAAGTTCACAGAGAGAAAGTAAGTAAACGATTTGTTATGGCACAATAAAGAAGCGATTTAGAAAGAACACCTTTGAAACTATATTGAATCTACTATAACTATGTCCTTTTACAAGCATTTCTTCTCAGGCTACACGCCTACATCCTATATGTGCCAAAAGGGTTCTTAAGCTACCCCCATTGGATAACCCTTTTTGGTTTCAAGTAGAACCCTTTTTTGTTCCAGGTATAAACGCAACATGTAAAGTGTTGGCCCCACGTTTCATGAGCTGAAATAAAAGATCCCAGAAATTGTCCATATAAAATAGCTTATTTCTCTCAAATTTACATTTACATTTACGTCATTTAGCAGACGCTCTTATCCAGAGCGACTTACAAATAGGTGCATTCACCTTATAGCCAGTGGGATAACCACTTTTTGTTTACATCCCTGTTAGTGAGCATTTCTCCTTTGCCAAGATAATCCATCCACCTGACAGGTGTGGCATATCAAGAAGCTGATTAAACAGCATGATCCTTACACAGGTGCACCTTGTGCTAGGGACAATAAAAGGCCACTCTAAAATGTGCAGTTTTGTCACACAACACAATGCCACAGATGTCTCAAGTTTTGAGGGAGCGTGCAATTGGCATGCTGACTGCAGGAATGTCCACCAGAGCTGTTGCCAGAGATTTGAATGTTCATTTCTCTACCATAAGCCGCCTCCAATGTCGTTTTAGGGAATTTGACAGTGCGTCCAATTGGCCTCACAACCGCAGACCACATGTAACCACGCCAGCCCAGGACCTCCACATCCGGCTTCTTCACCTGCGGGATCGTCTGAGACCAGCCACCCAGACAGCTGATGAAACTGTGGGTTTACACAACCAAAGAATTTCTGCACAAACTGTCAGAAACCGTCTCAGGGAAGCTCATCTGCATGCTTGTCATCCTGACCAGGGTCTTGACCTGACTGCAGTTCGATATCGTAACCTTCAGTTGGCAAATGCTCACCTTCGATGGCCACTGGCACACTAGAGAAGTGTGCTCTTCACAGATGAATCCCGGTTTCAACTGTACCGGGCAGATGGCAGACTGCATGTATGGCATTGTGTGGGCGAGCGGTTTGCTGATGTCAATGTTGTGAACAGAGTGCCCTATGGTGGTGGTGGGTTTATGGTATGGGCAGGCATAAGCGACGGACAACAAACAGAATTGCATTTTATCGATGGCAATTTGAATGTACAGAGATACCGTGATGAGATCCTGAGGCCCATTGTCGTGCCATTCATCCGCCGCCATCACCTCATGTTTTAGCATGATAATGTACGGCCCCATGTCGCAAGGATCTGTACACAATTCCTGGAAGCTGAAAATATCCCAGTTCTTCCATGGCCTGCATACTCACCAGACATATCACCCATTGAGCATGCTCTGGATCGACGTGTATGACAGCGTGTTCCAGTTCCCGCCAATATCCAGCAACTTCGCACAGCCATTGAAGAGGAGTGGGACAACATTGCACAAGCCACAATCAACAGCCTGATCAACTCTATGCGAAGGAGATGTGTTGCGCTGCATGAGGAAAATGGTGGTCACACTAGATACTGACTGGTTTTCTGATCCACACCCCTACCTTTATTTTTTAAGGTATCTGTGACCAACAGATGCATATCTGTATTCCCAATCATGTGAAATCCATAGATTAGGGGCTAATGAATTTATTTCAACTGAGGATTTCCTTTTATGAATTGTAACTCAGTAAAACCTTTGAAATTGTTGCATGCTGTATATTTTTGTTCAGTGTAGACCCCTCTGTGGAAAGGGTTCTACATGGAACCCAAAATAGTTTTACCTGGAACCAAAATGGGTTCTTCAAAGGGTTCTCCTATAAGGACAGCCGAGGAACCCTTTTAGGTTCTAGATAGCACCTTGTTTCTAAGAGTGTAGACATAGACCCCCCACTATAACAGTCGCTAGCCAAACATACTATAAAACAAACATCACATAATGTTGTTTGTTACACTTCCACTCAATGCCTCTGGCTGACCTAAAGCAGTAGTCCTTTTCCTTGTTTGACGAACCCCATGGTATACATAATAAGCACACAGCAACCTAACCAGCCAGACTGCAGCAGACGGCCAGAAAAACAAGTCAACCAGGGGCGTAGTAAAAAGTAAATGTGTGTTTAAGAGGCCTGTCGGCTGGGCTTTAAGGACCTATTTGGGAGGGCCGATCAAGGACTTCCTGATTGAGACATTAGCATTTGCACAAAAGTAGTGCGTGGAGAGGCCTATAAAATGTTGGGCTGGCCGGTCGCTAAATAGCTAGTATTGAGCGAATGTGGTAATCGGACAATAAAATAGTACCGTAATATTTTGGGCTAGGGTGTCGGTGATGTGGGGTTAGTGGTGTGTGTGTGTATGGTTATAGACCCACAGGGAGGTTGTGGATGGGGGGTCCGGGGGTCTGAGGATTGGGGTTAAACCGAGACGCCCTTGGGATTGGCTATCTACCAAGTGACACATACAGGAAGGAACCCTTTGATGGTGATGTCACCCCCTATCCACCCCCTGCCTGTTTACTCAGCTGACAGTTACTGCATCACTCCTCACCAACCACAGGACTACAGGAAGGAGTGGCAATGAAAGATGGAGGGGAGAGAGAGAGAGAGAGAGAGAGAGAGAGAGAGAGAGAGAGAGAGAGAGAGAGAGAGAGAGAGTCCTCACTAGAAAGGATCTTAACACAGGTGTCAGCATAGTTCTCAGTCATGTAAAGCATTTCACTATCTAATCTATTCTATTCCTCGAAAGATTAGGACCATAGAAATACAGTAGAATGACTGTAGATTATATTTCTATGCTTGGGACACTTACCCTGTTCCTCAGGAGACCTCCCTGCACCTGCCGGCTCCTCCCTGGTCATCTCTGGAGGCACCCAGAGGCTCTGCAGCAGCAGGGTGAGCAGAGAGACAGAAAGACACAGCACCAAGCAGCCACTGGAGACAGACAGGAGGACAGCAGGACAGACGGACATGGGTTAGTGTTGGGTTTAGCAGAACTCATCACTACACTAAACTACCACTACTAGTAATGTAATTGCAATTAACTTATATTTAGCTTCGACACATGGTATCATATTGTGTATCGTGTAGCACCATGTAGAGGGGGACCAAGCTTGACCTTAAGTCATGTAATTAATTGTGGTGATCTCCATGTAGCCTTAGTTTGTCATGCACTGAGTGCATTGAGAAGAGGAGGACATTAACTTGTTCCATGGACAGACATAAAATAAGAATGGTTCTCTTTGTCATAACAAACAGCTGGAGAGTGATGTGCCGTCATGGCATGAGAGCGACTTGAGCAAGCGACTCCTTTGGGTTCGGGTTTTTACTGGGGCAGAAGAGAACTGGCGTTCGAGCAAATTGGCTACAAAGAGTGTGTTCCAGAAGTGAAACACACTCGGGCCAAGCCAAACACACAACCAAACTCAGCACTCAAGGCGATTCAATTGAATTCAATTAAATTGTATTAGTAAAGCTCTCCATACAGAGAAATCTGTCAAAGAACACTCAACGACTGGCCCGGGTCTTTGTGAAACAACATCCACTATAGGGCTATCAGCGACAAAGGGAAAAACTCAGAAATAAGAGTTGCAGGATGACACCATGAAGTTCAAAACTTAGTAAGAGTCCATTGTTTGTGGGTCCAACAGTCAGTCAACTCTACATTATAGTCCATTTACTGTATACTGTACATTCAGTCAACTCCTGATAAATGCGATGTAACTGGCATGACAAACATGCAATAAACACATGCAGATATCCAGAGATATGAACACTCAGACGTGTGAATAACCTATAAGGAGTCAACCGTATTCCTACACAGTAGATATAGTCTTAATCAGTTGTTAGGCTTTTGGGATGAGCCCTTACCTCCGGGGTCGCAGTGCGAAACGCATGATCCAGAGTCAAGACGTGGGCCTGACTGTCAAAACAGAAAATTATACATTTGAAGAAATAAGAGTTATTATCAGTCAATACTGCAATAGTTTGGAGAAAGAAACGCAAAGAGATGCTGCCTCTAGTAATCATTTATTCTCTTCTTCACTGTTTTCAAAAGTGAAAATAAGGCAGATAGGGTCAAAGAATGGTTTCCTTTGTGTACAAGACCACCTGAACTTTTTCACCACTCAGTTCAAAACACCACATCATGGACAGTTGGATCAGAGTTTCCATTTACACTGATGGGAATATATGAATCCCCTTCCATATTCAGTCATAATTTTGACAAGGCGTAAAACTGTCTCAACATGTGGCTTTGTGTTTCCTATTGAAAGTTAATGATACACTGATAAATGTAACAAACTCTGCCAATACTTCAGTCCCTCTCTCCCCATCCTTCAGTCCCTTTGTTTTGTTACTCTGTGTGGTCTATTAGCCAGAGTTATAAAGACATTGGAACAGCCAGGCGTACTCACCGATTCAGCGCAGACACACACACAAACACACACACACCACACAAACACTCGCCTCCTAGGTCTCCGTCACAACCTGGCGGCAACCTCCAACATCGCTCCCTCTTTCAAAAACGACCTAATACAAGAAACAGGAGAAAACGCGGGGCTGGAAAGTCTCATTTGTTTTTTGTCTCTCTTCACTCTCTTTCCCTCCTTCTCTGGCCTCCTGTTCTCCGTCCCTAGCCTCTGGGTAGGCATCCTGCGGTTGTCAAGGAAACCTGATTCCCCTCTTGAGAACACAATACCCATGGTGCTGCTGGGGCCTTTCACAGATACAATGGAGCTCACGCTATTGGGTGACATAGCCTCTTTCAGCCCCACCACCCAAAGTAAAAAGCCCTTTTTGTGAATGGAAACACAACTGAACTGGAGACTCTACTTGCTACTCCAGCCTATTTGAATATCTTAGAGGGCATACTGTTTGAGATTTAACACATAAATTAACTAATTTCAATGCCAATAGCAAGCAAATAATAAAAACCCAACGTTGTGCCTTATGATAGGCTTGAATATCAATAATACATGTCTCTCTGTTACTCCAGTTTACTCTCACACACACACACACACACACACACACACCACTTCAGGTCGCACACATAAGTCTTTTGAAGGACATCTGACCTCAGAAATACCAGAGGAGAGGAGTTTAGACTGCAGGATCCAATTAGTAGTTGGACAGATATAGTATGTGCAGTTCGTCATGCAGTCTGAAGAGGGCAGCCTAGTCCCAGTTTTGATAGGCCTATTTCCTGCTGTAGGTTGGTAATGATCCTTCTTTAGGTTATTTTTGTAGGGGAAACTCAACTACCATTGGAATGAGAAGACTAAAGATGATATACCTTTTAGTTTGTATCCACATGTTTAAAGTTTTTAGTGTAATGAAATAAGGAAATGAAATTAATGTCCCATCACCACCCTCCCCTGATCGGAAGACAACTTTATCAATGTGAAATGTCAATGTCACTTTAATGTCTTTATAGTAGGTATAATATGGTAATTGTGACAATTGCACCAAAGCTGGTAATGCAATTAACATTGAACGCCTTTAAGTTCAACTTGGCAAACAAACATCTCACTTAAGTACGTCCGACCTTGACATCAGCACATGACGTCACACCTTTCTTCGAAAATCGCAAGGGTCAAAAGATACTGATGGAGGTGTGTTTGTGTTTGTGTGTGTGTGCGCACGTGTCCATGTTCGTGTGCATGTGTACGTGCCTGCATGTGTGTGTGCTTGCCTGCCTTCCATAGGTGTGATGTCACAGCGTGTCGAAGCGGAAGGATTTCATGAGCATAAACCCCCCATAAGCTTGGACCTTAAGGCTTACTGGCTTTAGACCCATCTGTCTCTCTCTCTCTCGCTCTCTCGCTCTCTCTCTCTCCCCCTTGTCTTTCCCCACCTCAATCTCTCACCAAACAGTGGTATTCTCTGTCCAATCAAATAGCTCTGATGTTAGAGCGTGCTTTAGGCTGAGGCTCAGTGTTTGTTGTGCTTATATACAGCACTAAATGTAGCCCTAGCGCGATAGTCAGCGTCCTATGGATTAGTGTACCTCACATGATATGAACGCTGTCCACTCCTACAGTCATGTCTGTTGGACTGATGCCAGCAGCTGGCATGTAACAAAGGCTCAATTAACCAACTCCATGGCCATAGTAAAGCTGGCTTTGAGACAGACAGGACAGGGTAGACCTGAAAAGACAGGCAAACACAACAGAATTAGACAAAGAGTAGACAGGAAGTACTGTTGTGGACAGTGTATTCTATGTCATCATTGTGAGTCATATGAGTGGGTTATCATCCACAAAATACAGTATGTCTAAGGTCTTCTCCGAAAAACACATGATGGAGTCTCTTTCTATGGCGTGGACATTTGGCTATTTGTTTTACAAGTTTCATTACACACATAGGCCTATGGGTCAGCTTGTTGTTGCTGCAAGAAGACCAAATGAAGACATGAACAACATAATGAGAGAATACAAAGCAAAAACACACGGCCAGAACCACTTTGGCCTAATTGAGTTATCTGTAATAACTGTCATGTGCTGGGCGTTGTTTTTTGTGGGTGCTTTTGAGTAGGAGGACAAAGCAGAGTGTTGTTAAAATTGCCTGGGTGCCTTCCTGTCGTTTTCCAGTGCCCTTAACTACTTTGACAGACATCCAGGTCTGTATACAAGGCTTGATGATATTGCCTCTATTCCACCACTCCCAACTGGCTCACTCACAATAACTCTGATGTTGCCTGAAACAGCAGTGGAGCATCTTGTTTTTCAAAATCTTCTCAAGTTCTTTGCACTATAATGTTTGGTAATTAGATTTTAATGGTAGGCTAATGATAGTTTCACCCTGCTACATTATTATTTTTAAATGATTTCTGGACTTGTATAATGCTATAAGGTTTTCCCCCATTTAAAGCAGAGGCCAGTGCAATTTCATATATCTAACAAAGCGTAAAGACAAAATGCCATAAGAAATCCCATATGAATTGCATTCTACACTCCGCCATATGGCTCCTGCCAGTAGCGGTTACTGCGCATGTCCGAAACTGCCAAATATGAACGCTGCTCCAACATCTCAAGACATCTGACCAAACCAGGTAGGGGTATTTCATATCTTGACAGGTATTTTTCATGTCTTGCTGTTTCTTCAGCGGTTATTAACACACATGCGCAGTCCTCTTGCCTTTTATGCATCGTGATAATATTAGTTAGCCCGCTCGCAATGCAAGTTCAACAACCACCAATGTTGACAGTGAGGAACAGAATTTGTCTCGCTATCTTGTCACTACGCTAGTTAGCTAGCTAGGTCCTAGCTGGCTAATTATCGCTCTGCATATGAAGGAAAGGCTTTATGGTCGTAGCAAATTCTTTGACATGATATAACTAGCTAGCTATTCTAGCTAATGTTATGCTATGTCTTGACCTGGTGAAAACACTGACCAGACAATAGACCAATGTCAATGGCTAACGTGAATGGAAGGAAACCGCTTTGTTAGCGCGCGCTCTTTCCGCATTTCTAGCTAGCTCTACCTGTCACCTTTGCCAGGGTTACCACTAACGTTAGCTACAAGCTTTCACGGCATTCGCAGGTCCTAGCTAGCTAGCCGTGAAAGGTGACCAACTTAATTTAGTCCGTTTTATTCTAGCTATATTAATGCATTTCTTACCCATATTAATGCATTTCTTACCCAGCCCCATATAGCCAGGTGGCTATGCCGAAGTGTGGTGTCGGCACCTTGTCGCTTGCCATAATGACATTCGCCTGTCACATTCATTCTCCTAGTCAGTGTTGGCTAACTAGCTACACTGAAAAAAATATATAAACGTAAAGTGTTGGTTTAATGAGCTGAAATAAAATATTACAAATGTTCCATACGCACAAAAAGCTTATTTCTCTAAAATGTTGTGCACATTTGTTTACCTCCCCTTTTAGTTGGCAGTTCTCCTTTGCCAAGATAATCCATCCACCTGACAGGAATGGCATATCAAGAAGCTGATTAAACAGCATTATGATTACACAGATGCACCTTGTGCTAAGGACAATAAAAGACCACTCTAAAATGTGCAGTTTTGTCACACAACACAATGCCACATCTCAAGTTTTGAGGGAGGGTGGAATTGGCATGCTGACTGCAGGAGTGTCCACCAGAGCTTTTGCCAGAGAATTAATTTCTCTACTAGAAGCCGCTTCCAACGTTGTTTTAGAGAATTTGGCAGTATGTCCAACCCGCCTCACAACCGCAGACCACGTGTATGGCGTCGTGGGCGAGCGGTTTGCTGATGTCAACATTGTGAACAGAGTGCCCCATGGTGGCGTTCGGGTTATGGTAGGGGCAGGCATAAGCTACTGGCAACAAACACAATTGCATTTTATCGATGGCAATTTAAATGCACAGAAATACCGTGACGAGATCCTGAGGCCCATTTCTTTTAAAGTATCTGTGACCAACAGAGGCATATCTGTATTCCCAGTCATGTGAAATCCATAGATTAGGGCCTAATTTATTTATTTAAATTGACAGATTTCCTCATTTAAACTTAAAATCAGTAAAACCTTTGAAATTGTTGCATGATGCGTTTTATATTTTTGTTCAAGATAGCTAGCTGTCTTGATAACAGTTGTGTCATCATCAGTGTCCCTTGCTGGCTGATCCTGCATAATAATGCAGTTCTACAATATAGCTGAAATCTATAGCCAGCTAACTAAAGTCATTTATTTTTAGCTGGAGGCGGTGCTCAGCTGCATCTCTGTACCTGGGATTGCAGCCCTCTGGCTTGAAGTCAGTGACCCAATATGATCCCATATTGTAGTGTTGTTCAGCTCAACAATTTTGTCAGTTTTTGTCAAGGATGGCCATTGGCCATTGTTAATCCTCTGTCATGCAACATAATTTTTTTCCTGCTTAAAACTATAGACATACTTAGAATGCTTTGCCCTTAATTGCTCACTCAACCTTTGCCCTGAGACATGGCTGTGTAGACTAGATGGTTGTGACTAGATGTAGTATAGCTACGACCAGAAGTGAGTTTTCGTAGCAGGTTTGGAGAGCATTTTAGCTAACCCTATTTCTAACCTTATCCTAACCTGCAGCTTAAGTTCTCCTAACCTGCTATGAAAAGTAACTTCCGGTCGTAGCTGTATAGTACCTAGTCAAAACCAGTCTCAGCCGGTCAGGGCAACCTTAACCTATATAGCTAGTGTGGGTTGCATATTTGTAGCCTACATCAAAGGTCTTCTTCTGAAATGGCTCACATACAGACTAGCTTACACAACATTCCCTTTACTTTGTCCTGTCCTCCCCCTGCATTAAGTTCCAAATAGCCTGTCAAGCAAACCAATATGTTTGTAACAGATGTTATCTCATTCTTTTCCCCTATCTACTTCTCTCTGCAGTGAACATCATGGGTGGTTGAGAGATACACCCTGGACTTATTTGTTGTGAAGAGGACAGGCTAGTTAGGCTAGGCTATACTCTAGACCCCTCAGCCGCAGTCCAGAAGCTTCTGCAGCCATGGCTGAAGAGGACTACGGCTGCTTCGTGGACTGGACCCAGATGGGGGACCTGGCCAACAGCAGTGGCCCCTCCAAACTGGACGTCAAGGACCCAGTAGAGCTCAAGAAGCTGGCCAGGCAGGGCCACTGGGCCAAGAACCACAAACTTCGTGCCCAGGTCTACCAGCAACTCATCAAGGCCATCCCCTGTCGCACCGTCACCCCCGACGCTGAGGTCTACCGTGACCTCATGGGGGACAACACAGGTAAAAAAGCCTCGTCCGTCATCCCACTGCCAGACTTTGTGGACGGCAGCGCTGTTCCACGCTACTGCCTCAAGGCAGACTCAGTGACCGCCGTCCACCGGGTCATCTCCTGTCTGGCGGGCCAGTTCCCAGACATCTCACACTGCCCGGCACTGCCCGCCATGACGGCCCTCCTTCTGCACTTCAGCGCCGACGAGGCGCAGTGCTTCGAGCACATCAGCCGTCTGCTGGCCTGCAACGAGCCGGGCCGACGCTTGGTGGACCAGACCTTCCTGGCCTATGAGTCCAGCTGCATGACCTTCGGTGACCTGGCCAACAAGTACTGCCCGGCCGCCCACAAGCTGATCGTGGCCACAGCGCAGGACGTGGTGGAGGTGTACTCAGGCTGGCAGCGCTGGGTGCTGGGTGACCTGCCCTTCAGCCACATGGCCCGGGTACTAGACGTCTTCCTGGTGGAAGGATACAAGGTGTTGTACCGCGTGGCTCTGGCCCTGCTCAAGTTCTACCGCAAGCAGAAGGCCGGGGCTGGGGGTCAGCCGTCAGAGGGCCAGAAACAGGACTCTGCAGAGGTCAAGGCGGAGATCCAGGCCTTTGTCAAAGCCATCGGCTCCAGCATCACCCCAGACAAGCTGCTGGAGAAGGCCTTCTCCATCCGCCTGTTCAGCCGCAAAGAGATTACCCTCCTGCAGCTCACCAATGAGAAGTCGCTGCAGCAGAAGGGCATCACTGTCAAACAGAAGAGGTGAGTGAGGGCTAGAGAGACGGCATGAGCTCTATTGGGTCTAATTGAAATTGGAGAGTTAATTTACTTATAGAGAAATATTGTCTACAATGCTGTCAATGGATATCAATGAGGCAGTGGACACTAGTACATTTACATTTACGTCATTTAGCAGACGCTCTTATCCAGAGCGACTTACAAATTGGTGCATTCACCTTATAGCCAGTGGGATAACCACTTTACAATATGTTTATTTTTTGGGGGGGGTAAGGGGGGGTAAAAGGATTACTTTATCCTATCCCAGTTATTCCTTAAAGAGGTGGGGTTTCAAATGTCTCCGGAAGGTGGTGAGTGACTCCGCTGTCCTGGCGTCGTGAGGGAGCTTGTTCCACCATTGGGGTGCCAGAGCAGCGAACCGTTTTGACTGGGCTGAGCGGGAACTGTGCTTCCTCTGCTAATGCTATGCTAGCGCTTTAGCTAATGGCAGCGTAAATAAACATTAGACATGGCAATAGGCCATGAACCAAATCAGGATGGTATGCTACGAATGAGAGACATGCACTCGAAAACATGTGCGTGACAACTTTAGCCACCAGTGAGGGTCAGGTCTAGAAGGGATACCGCTAATGTCAGTGACATTATACATATTCGAGTCGGGTCGGGGAGAATTTTAGCTAACCCTTTTCCTTACCTTAACCTAGTTCTCCTAACCTGCCCACCAATTCTCCTAACCTGCTACGTACGAATAGTCACATTTTCGGCATCCCATCTAGTCAAAACCACCAGTGAGAAGTGGCCATCGTTCCTGGCTATATATAGCCGGTATGACCTGCCGCTAAAAGCATTTGGATACCTGCTGTATTTGGATTGGTTAATTGATTTTCTGTTTTTTAGTTCGCTCACACTTTTTCCTGTTGTGGCTGTCTGTGTGGTTCGGGTCTGCTTTTTGTCACTGAATCTTTTCTCACCATTCTGTTCATAGTTTTCCCCTTTTTGTTTTCTCTTTTTTTGCTGTCCATTTTCCATCTGCCGTCGTCTTCTGTTTTCACCTTCACTCCTGTGTCCATGTGTCTACTGCTCCTCCATTCTCCTATTTGCACTTGGCTCTGTTAGTCTGAGGTAGGTGTCTCTCTCTGTTCACCTGTTAATACTTGAGCTGACCTCCCTCATTAGTGATACATTGTATTAGAAACTGTGTCCACATTCTCTGTAAACTATAATGTTATAAGTGACCAGGAAAACACGATTTGGACAACGAACACACAACCATAGTCAAAACCAAAAAACAGTGTGATGGTTTTTGCTTCTCCTTAACACTCAATTGAATATGCCTAATTAAAGTCCCAGACTGACTACAGTACTAGACGGTCCAATCCCCTTGTTTAAGGTCTGAATTAGGTGCTGTTGGTTCCAGCTCACGCTGTGGCCCTTAAGGTCAGGAGTTGTACAGTTACAACAACAACCATGACATATCCAGACAAGCTCAGAAAATACAGTTTTGACTGTCCGATCAGGAGATTGTGTGTTACTGACAAAGTATTCCTCTCCTTCCTGCCCGGTTACCATGGCTACAGGCGCAACGTGCAGCTGGCTCTGAACCCGGACACCTTCTCCTCGGAAGTGGTCAGCGCCAAGGAGATGAGGGACATCTGGTCATGGATCCCCGAGCGCTTCGCCCTGTGCGAACCACAGCTCCTCTTCACTACCTCCACTCACGGCTGCAGCCTCAACAGGTACCCACTGGAGTACCCACTTTACCAGTCTCACTTTAGCCACTCACTGCAGCTAAGGCTAACCACTAGACCAGGGGTGTCAAACATACTGATCCAATGTGGGCCGCAGGTGTTTTCTGGGAGGAAACGGTCTCCGTCTACATTAAAATACCTAAAACCAAATTGAAAGTGGGTAGAAATTATAATGGACCTACGTTTTTATACAGTCTCTACACTCTGTCCAGCTTGCTAACAATCACCGAAACGAAAGCTAGACAGTCAGGGAGCATTCAATTCCATAGACTAGGCTATTTTGGGCAAATTATAACCAATTTTCAGTGCGGTCCTCCGGACGGACCTCAGTGAAGACCGAATATGGCCCATGGGGAAAAATAAGTTTGATACCCTGCACTCTACAGTTTCCTGTACCCAGTTTACCTTGCAGTCTCCGGTTCCACACCAACCTAACCTTAGTGACAACTAGGATTGGGTTATAGCAACATTTTCATATCATTGATAGGCTATATCGCTGCATATATGCAACATTATCGCTGATATGCGATTAATATTGCAGATATGATGATATCGCAGATATGCAAAATTATCGTCGGTATGCTGTAATGTACCTGAGTAACTGATATACTGCCCACTTTATTCATCCTCATTGGTACACTTTACCCTGTATTGGGCCCAATTTACCATACAGCTTACTCTGTACATTTCGCCACGGTCTCGGCTACCATGCCTACTTTACCACAAAGGGGCAATTTGCGATTGGTACATCCATTTTTTTTTTTACTTTTAAATGAGTTATTTATTTGTACATACATACATACATACATACATACATACATACATACATACATACAGTTGAAGTCATAAGTTTACATACACCTTAGCCAAATAAATTTAAACTCAGTTTTTCACATTTCGACATTGAATCCTAGTAAAGATTCCCTGTCTTAGGTCAGTTAGGATCACCACTTTATTTTAAGAATGTGAAATGTCAGAATAATAGTAGAGATTGATTTATTTCAGCTTTTATTTATTTCATCACATTCCCAGTGGGTCAGAAGTTTACATATACTCAATTAGTATTTGGTAGCATTGCCTTTAAATTGTTTAACTTGGGTCAAATGTTTCGGGTAGCCTTCCACAAGCTTTCCACAATAAGTTGGGTGAATTTTGGCCCATTCCTCCTGACAAAGCTGGTGTAACTGAGTCAGGTTTGTAGGCCTCCTTGCTCGCACACGCTTTTTCAGTTCTGCCCACACATTTTCTATAGGATTGAGGTCAGGGCTTTGTGATGGCCACTCCAATACCTTAACTTTGTTGTCCTTAAGCCATTTTGCCACAACTTTGGAAGGATGCTTGGGGTCATTGTCCATTTGGAAGACCCATTTGCGACCAAGCTTTAACTTCCTGACTGATGTCTTGAGATGTTGCTTCAATATATTCACCAAATCATCCTTCCTCATGATACCATCTATTTTGTGAAGTGCACCAGTCCCTCCTGCAGCAAAGCACCCCCACAGCATGATGCTGCCACCCCTGTGCTTCACGGTTGGGAGGGTGTTCTTCGGCTTGCAAGCTCCCCCCTTATTCCTCCAAACATAACGATGGTCATTATGGCCAAACAGTTATATTTTTGTTTCATCAGACCAGAGGACATTTCTCAAAAAAGTAAGGTCTTTGTCCCCATGTGCAGTTACAAACCGTAGTCTGGCTTTTTAATGCCGGTTTTGGAGCAGTAGCTTCTTCCTTGCTGAGCGGCCTTTCAGGATATGTCGATATAGGACTCGTTTTACTGTGGATATAGATACTTTTGTACCTGTTTCCTCCAGCATCTTCACAAGGTCCTTTGCTCTTGTTCTTTGATTGATTTGCACTTTTCGCACCAAAGTACGTTAATCTCTAGGAGACAGAACGCGTCTCCTTCCTGAGCGGTATGACGGCTGCGTGGTCCCATGGTGTTTATACTTGCGTACTACTGTTTGTACAGATGAACATGGTACCTTCAGGCGTTTGTAAATTGCTCCCAAGGATGAACCAGACTTGTGGAGGTCTAAAAAAAAATATTCTGAGGCCTTAGCTGATTTTATTTTTATTTTCCCATGATGTCAAGCAAAGAGGCACTGAGTTTGAAGGTAGGCCTTGAAATACATCCACAGGTACACCTCCAGTTGACTCAAATGATGTCAATTAGCCTATCAGAAGCTTCTAAAGCCATGACATCATTTTCTGGAATTTTCCAAGCTGTTTAAAGGCACAGTCAACTTAGTGTATGTAAACTTCTGACCCACTGGAATTGTGATACAGTGAATTATACAGTGGGGGAAAAAGTATTTAGTCACCAATTGTGCAAGTTCTCCCACTTAAAAAGATGAGAGGCCTGTAATTTTCATCATAGGTACACGTCAACTATGACAGACAAAATGAGAGAGAAAAAATCCAGAAAATCACATTGTAGGATTTTTAATGAATTTATTTGCAAATTATGGTGGAAAATAAGTATTTGGTCACCTACAAACAAGCAGGATTTCTGGCTCTCACAGACCTGTAACTTCTTCTTTAAGAGGCTCCTCTGTCCTCCACTCGTTACCTGTATTAATGGCACCTGTTTGACCTTGTTATCAGTATTAAAGACACCTGTCCACAACCTCAAACAGTCACACTCCAAACTCCACTATGGCCAAGACCAAAGAGCTGTCAAAGGACACCTCATTTTTCTCATTTTGTCTGTCATAGTTGACGTGTACCTATGATGAAAATTACAGGCCTCTCTCATCTTTTTAAGTGGGAGAACTTGCACAATTGGTGGCTGACTAAATACTTTTTTTCCCCCACTGTATATGCTTGTTTTACTCCATTGTTTATAAATGTAATTGTACACAAACACTTTATATCCTAAAAACATGCTTGAAACTATACATTTAATATCATGGATGGTCAGCCATTACATCTGTCTATTAATTTGAGACAGGCTACATTTCTCCAGCCCCATCCCTCAGCTATTTACCAAAACAGTGGTGGGACTGCCACTTTGTTATTGTTTGAATTGCAGATTGCCTCTTTAAAAGAGGGGTAAGGAAATGACTTGGGGACAGTAAGGTCACCCACTTATGTATTTTTGTTCAGCAGCAATAGAACTAGAATATAATTTTAGTTTAGTTAAGTGAAGAATCAGCAATGGCCCTTGTTCAATATTCACACTCCCCTTGACCTTGTACAGCCTCGTACTGAATCCATCACCCACAGGCCAAACGGAAGACTTAGTTTAGGATCATATTCACATATTCATAGCTCACAGACAAACAGAATCTTGTTTATAGAATGCGAACAGTAGCCCACACTTTTTCTCCAGGGCCAGGTTTTAAGGATCAATACTGTAGGTTTAGTTAATATTTACCCTCCTGTATTGGTTTACTGTTCATCAGGTGAGACACGGATGAATATCAGAGCTATCGAAAGTATATCACTAGGGGCCATAAAGACGTTCATACTTTCAGTCAGCTAGTGAAAAAGGCTGATCTCTCAGACTTAAATTGACACATTTGGTTTTTCAATAGGAATGGGTTAACTTTCTGAATTATGCTACATAGAAATCATTGACCAAAGAGACACTGCAGTATGATCATAAAACAAAAGAATGAATGTAATCTGACCTTGTAAAAAAACACATGGAATGTATCGTACATCATCTTTTAAGATGCAGCATGATAGTTAAAGGGAAGCTTATGTGTGTGTTTTTCGTATGGATCATTTCATGCATACATACGTGGCCAGATTGTGTAATAGTGGTTGTCCATTCCTTTTGTCCCAGGTTCTACGCTCATGTCGAAGGCTATGAGCCCACTCTGCTACTCATCAGGACCTGTGACGCTGACGTAAGGACCTTACACACACACAGCGTTACCACCCTCGTGGAACAGTATAATGACAACCACAGCAATAGACGAGTAACTCTCGAGCTCACATTTATTATGATATTGAAAAAGTAGGCATGGTGTTTTAAATCTACAGTTGAGTCTGTTTTTCAATCATATTGATATGGTAAAGACCTATCTTTTTAATTATATCTATGAATACAGGTACCATATGCAGTATCTACTTTTTTTAATAACGAAATTTGAGTGACTGAATATATATATATATTTTTTTGTGCCTTTTTTGCAACCCTGTCTCGAAGTGTCATATCCCTGTTTTCCTCTTCTTCTATGCCTTTTGACATTGTCCCATATCCCTGTTTTCCTCTTCTTCTATGCCTTTTGACATTGTCCCATCCTTCTATTTCCTATCCCACTTCTCCCTTTGATTCTACTGTAATACACCCTCTCACCATGCCCTGCATTGTCTGTCCAGGTATGTGGAGCCTTTCTCTCAACCGATTGGGAGGAGCGCAAGCGAGGCGGGAACAAACTCAGCTTCTTTGGGACTGGAGAATGTTTTGTCTTTAGGGTGAGTTGTGTTTATTTCCCTATTTACTTAATTTTTCCTATTCAAGGCTATGTGAATCCACCATTCTCTATTTTTTTGTATTATTTTTGGGGAGCAAGGTTATTATAGTAAACGAAAACTGAAACTAAAATAAAAACTACAATTGGAAAAACTATTTAGTAAACTGAAATCAAACTAGGAAAAACGCTTGAAAAATCGAAAACTACACTGAAACTATTGTTGACTGCAAAACTAACTCAGATATAATAAAAACCATCAAATTCTGTATTATTTTTATTTTACTTTGTGCAAAAAATCAAATGCTGTTTTCAAACTTTTTTTTTTATGGGGTTTTCGAGCTTCTGAATCTGGTGGGTAAATGCTGCCAGTATATGGCAATGTTTCAAATAGGCCTAGCTTGTGCATCACTATCACTAGCTAACAGGGTAGAAATCCGAGGGTGAGTGCGCAGCATGAGGGTGAACAATGGCGGCAGCAAACCCAACACCAGCAGTGGTCGGTCGCAAAAGGCAAAGCCCTGTATGGGATGATTTATAGTACATTGCTGGAAAGGACAAAAGCAAATGTATTGTAGTGTCAGATGGCAGTGTGTGTGAAATGGAGATAAAGGGGGAAACCCAACCAACCTGAACAGCACCCACAAAGAATGTCAGGATAAAGACAAGGTCAAACTGCTATTATTTAATTTTTGGAATTAGGTCAGGATTCGACTCAAATCTAATTTTATTTGTCACATGCGCCGAATACAACAAGTTTAGACTTGTGAAATGCTTACTTATTAACTATTTCCCAACAATGCAGTTAAAAGTAAGAAAAATAAAATGGTAACACAATAAAATAACACACGAGGCTATATACAGGCTATATACAAGGAGTACCGGTACCGAGTCAGTGTACGGCGGTATGAGGTAGTTGGGGTGATATGGTACATGTAGGTTTGGTTAGGTGATTGATTGATTGAAGTACTACAGTGAGGGGAAAAAGTATTTGATCCCCTGCTGATTTTTGCCCACTGACAAAGACATGATCAGTCTATAATTTTAATGGTAGGTTTATTTAAACAGTGAGAGACAGAATAACAACAAAAAAATCCAGAAAAACGCATGTAAAAAATATTATAAATTGATTTGCATTTTAATGAGGGCAATAAGTATTTGACCCCTCTGCAAAACATGACTTAGTACTTGGTGGAAAAACCCTTGTTGGCAATCACAGAGGTCAGACGTTTCTTGTAGTTGGCCACCAGGTTTGCACACATCTCAGGAGGGATTTTGTCCCACTCCTCTTTGCAGATCTTCTCCAAGTCATTAAGGTTTCGAGGCTGACGTTTGGCAACTCGACGTCATTGTCATGCTGGAATACCCATCCACGACCCATTTTCAATGCCCTGGCTGAGGGAAGGAGGTTCTCACCCAAGATTTGACGGTACATGGCCCCGTCCATCATCCCTTTGATGCGGTGAAGTTGTCCTGTCCCCTTAGCAGAAAAACACCCCCAAAGCATAATGTTTCCACCTCCATGTTTGACGGTGGGGATGGTGTTCTTGGGGTCATAGGCAGCATTCCTCCTCCTCCAAACACGGCGAGTTGAGTTGATGCCAAAGAGCTAGATTTTGGTCTCATCTGACCACAACACTTTCACCCAGTTCTCCTCTGAATCATTCATTTACATTTACATTTCATTTACATTTTAGTCATTTAGCAGACGCTCTTATCCAGAGCGACTTACATATTATTATTTTTTTTATACTGGCCCCCTGTGGGAATCGAACCCACAACCCTGGCGTTGCAAACGCCATGCTCTATCAACTGAGCTACATCCCTGCCGGCCATTCCCTCCCCTACCCTGGACGACGCTGGGCCAATTGTGCGCCGCCCATGAGTCTCCCGGTCGCGGCCGGCTGCGACAGAGCCTGGATTCGAACCAGGATCTAGTGACACAGTTTTGCACTGCATTCAGATGTTCATTGGCAAACTTCAAATCAAATCAAATCAAATTTTATTGGTCACATGCGCCGAATACAACAGGTGCAGACATCACAGTGAAATGCTTACTTACAGCCCTTAACCAACAGTGCATTTATTTTTAACAAAAAAAGTAAAAATAAAACAACAACAACAAAAAAAGTGTTGAGAAAAAAAAGAGCAGAAGTAAAATAAAATAACAGTAGGGAGGCTATATATACAGGGGGGTACCGGTGCAGAGTCAATGTGCGGGGGCACCGGCTAGTTGAGGTAGTTGAAGTAATATGTACATGTGGGTAGAGTTAAAGTGACTATGCATAAATAATTAACAGAGTAGCAGCAGCGTAAAAAGGATGGGGTGGGGGGGCAGTGCAAATAGTCCGGGTAGCCATGATTAGCTGTTCAGGAGTCTTATGGCTTGGGGGTAGAAGCTGTTGAGAAGTCTTTTGGACCTAGACTTGGCACTCCGGTACCGCTTGCCGTGCGGTAGCAGAGAGAACAGTCTATGACTAGGGTGGCTGGAGTCTTTGACAATTTTGAGGGCCTTCCTCTGACACCGCCTGGTATAGAGGTCCTGGATGGCAGGAAGCTTGGCCCCAGTGATGTACTGGGCCGTACGCACTACCCTCTGTAGTGCCTTGCGGTCGGAGGCCAAGCAGTTGTCATACCAGGCGGTGATGCAACCAGTCAGGATGCTCTCGATGGTGCAGCTGTAGAATTTTTTGAGGATCTGAGGACCCATGCCAAATCTTTTCAGTCTCCTGAGGGGGAATAGGCTTTGTCGTGCCCTCTTCACGACTGTCTTGGTGTGTTTGGACCATGATAGTTCGTTGGTGATGTGGACACTAAGGAACTTGAAGCTCTCAACCTGTTCCACTACAGCCCCGTCGATGAGAATGGGGGCATGCTCAGTCCTCTTTTTTTTCCGTTGAGGGAGAGGTTGTTGTCCTGGCACCACACGGCCAGGTATCTGACCTCCTCCCTATAGGCTGTCTCATCGTTGTCGGTGATCAGGGGGACCTTGCGGGCGCTGCAGGATTTCAGTCCTTCACGGCGTAGTGTGTTGTGTGTTGCCTTGAGATCATTGACAAGATCCTCCCGTGTAGTTCTGGGCTGATTCCTCACCGTTCTCATGATCATTGCAACTCCACGAGGTGAGATCTTGCATGGAGCCCCAGGCTGAGGGAGATTGACAGTTCTTTTGTGTTTCTTCCATTTGAGAATAATCTCACCAAGCTGCTTGGCGATGGTCTTGTAGCCCATTCCAGCCTTGTGTAGGTCTACAATCTTGTCCCTGACATCCTTGGAGAGCTCTTTGGTCTTGGCCATGGTGGAGAATTTGGAATCTGATTGATTGATTGCTTCTGTGGACAGGTGTCTTTTATACAGGTAACAAGCTGAGATTAGGAGCACTCCCTTTAAGAGTGTGCTCCTAATCTCAGTTTGTTACCTGTATAAAAGACACCTGGGAGCCAGAAATCTTTCTGACTGAGAGGGGGTCAAATACTTATTTCCCTCATTAAAATGCAAATCAATTTATAACATTTTTTACATGCATTTTTCTGTATTTTTCTGTTGTTATTCTGTCTCTCACTGTTCAAATAAACCTACCATTCAAATTATAGACTGATAATTTCTTTGTCAGTGGGCAAACGTACAAAATCAGCAGGGGATCAAATACTTTTTTCCCTCACTGTATGTACAGGTAGGGGGTGAAAAGCAGAATGTCCAGGTAGCCATTTAATTAACTATTCAGCAGTTTTATGGTTTGGGGGTAGAAGCTGTTCAGGAGCCTTTTGGTTCCAGACTTGGAGCTCTGGTACCGCTTGCCGTGCGGTAGCAGAGAGAAAAGTCTATGACTAGGGTGGCTGGAGTCTTTGACAATTTCTTGGGCCTTCCTCTGACACCGCCTGGTATAGAGGTCGTGGATGGCAGGGAGCTCGGCCCCAGTGATGTACTGGGCCGTACGCACTAACCTCTGTAGCGCCTTGCGGTCGGATGACGAGCAGTTGCCATACTAAGCGGGGATGCAGCCAATCAAGATGCTATCAACTTTTTAAGATCTGAGGGCCCATGCCAAATCTTTTCAGCTTCCTGAAAGGAAAGAGGTGTTGTCACGTCACGGGTTTGCCACCTAGGAAATGTGTGTGACCGGACCATCTCAAATAGTACTTGAGTACCCCTGCTATAGGCCTACAACACATAAATGGCTCCTAGCCTCCCATGCATAAGGCTACTTTCTGTCCCTAACACTGAAACTAAATAATATAAAAATGAAATATAAATGTTTTTATCAAACTGAAACTGAAAGAAAACTTGTAAATCAAGTCTGAAAACTAACTGAAACTAAACTGAATTTCAAATGAAAATCCTAAAGTAATAGAAATAAAAACTAATAGAAAATCACAACTATAAAAACCTTGTTGGGGATTAGAATGTTTTGTGGAATGTTTTGGGTGCATCCCATATAATTTCGCCTCCAAGGTAGCAATCAGTGACTAAGAGTGGACACCAGGGGGCGCCATTTACAAATAGTTTCTTCATCCCCAGTCACAATAATTAGCCTCCTTATCAACAGTCTGGCCTCCACCCACTCTGAACAGAAAAGCCAAAATGCAGTATTTCTTCTTGAGTGATAGTGATAGTTTTGTACATTTTAGAGAGGTTTTGCTGAGTGTATCTGGGTCTAGAAATAGCCTTCTTTCAAGTCCTTTTCCATTTAATTATTAAAGTGTTGTGGTGTGGATGATGCACAGCTATGTGCTCTGACGGTCTGCCTGTGAATACCGCCCTACACAGACACACACACTCATCGGAAACTCCTGAAACTGGAGCCGAACGGTACAGTAGCACCTGATCAGGCCCTCACCTGCCACCACATACATTTTAACATTTTAGTCATTTAGCAGACGCTCTTCAGAGCGACTTACAGTAGTGAGTGCATACGTTTTCGTACTGGTCCCTCGTGGGAATCGAACCAACAACCCTGGCGTTGCAAGCGCCATGTTCTACAAACTGAGCCACACGGGACAGTAACAGGGGACCACACACAGTAAGATGGGGATCGAGATCTATTAGACATGCAAGGAGAAAAGGGAGTGGAGAAACTAGAGGAGGTGGGTGGAGGATGGGGACAGGGAATGAAAAAGCACCAATTATGACAGAGTATCAGTATCCAGTTTGTGTCTGGAGGGTTCGAGGTAAACACCTCAAGTGTGTGTGTGTATATATGAAAATATACCCTCAAATGTGATCAATGATTGTTACTCTCTGTTTGTCCATATAGCTGAAGCCGGAGATGGAGAGGTACGAGTGGGTGGTGATCCGCCACCCGGAACTGGCCTCCTCCATCAAGGCCCAGAGCAGTGAGGACCCTGCTGAGGACGAGGCTCCCACCGACGGGCAGAACTCTGACAACAGCCTCCCCGTGGAGAGGCCGGCCGCTGACCCATCCAACCGCCTGTCGCCCTTCCTCTCGGCCCGACACTTCCACCTCAACTCCAGAAACACCTCCATGTTCATGGCTGGCAACTTTGACTCCATCATAGTCGGTGAGTGGGAATCAGTCCTTCATAACCAGCGTCTCTTGTTCGTAATCAATCAGACTGTCCAGAGTGAGTAGATTGTCCTCATCAATGACTGATATAGACCTGACAATTAAACTAACATCTAGGAACTGAGGATCCCTGTGGCCCTTGCCTGTGAGTCTCCTCTCCCTCAGCGTCTCTCTTTAAAAAAAATGGATCTCTCAGATCCAGTGCACTCACCTAGATTCAGCTCATTTTTCTGTCTTAACTCCTCCTGCTGTTCTGTCTCCTGCCAGGGGGAGGCGAGGGCAACGCGCTGTACATCGACGGCGAGCTGAACCACGGACGCACAGCCCGCTGCACCACCTTCGACAACCCACCGCTCTGCTCCACCGAGAGCTTCCAGGTGGCCCTGCTGGAGGTGTGGGGCTTCCAGGACGCCATGGCCTCCGATAGATAGAGAGACACACACACACAGTTAGAGACACACACACCCCACCAAGGGCCTGATGAAGGTACCAGCAATATCAGAACAAACCCCTTTCCGTCCAGCAAATTCATTTATCCTTTGAATTCGATACATAAATGTGAAATATTTGTATTTATTAATGTAAAACAAGTATCATATTCTGAAAGTATCTTTATTTGTGATTATTTTTTACAGTTTTAATTGTTGTATTATTCTTTTTGTTGACTCATTTGGGGGATTTTAACTTGTTTCATTTCTATATTCACTTTATATCTACTCATGAATTTGTGCAATCTGGTTAGGCACCAAACCAACCGCCAAAATCGTAGTTAGTAGGCCTGTAAGTCTTAGAACATATGCCGTCTACCCAGCTGGAGTCTATGAAAAATGAATTGTACAAAGTGAAGTGTGTATTTGGTAAAGAATGTTGAATTGTGGGGTCTTTGCAATCAAAATAATAATAAGTAATGCAGTTGTGACATAAGTCGTGCCAGGTTTTGTTGTCTTTCATCAAGCCCAGTTGTGCTTTTCCCCTCTAATTGTACATATCTGGGAGTTATTACTCTATATCAGATTAACTGTAGTGCTGTTGGCAGATATTTGTGTAATCTTGATGTTTCAGTGTAGCCTGGTCCCAGATCTGTTTGTGCTGTCTTACTGAACCATCTCCTATGATCATTCATTGTCATGCCAAACATGGCAATTGGCTATACAGTTGGCTATACGGTACGAACAGATCTGGGACCAGGCTAGTTTGTCTGGCTGTTGTACGCCCATATTCTCGCCAGATGTACTATTGGTTCTGCACACAGCAGTAAATTAGATAAAGCCCCCTTGTAAAGTATGTGAATATCGTTCTTTGAATGTTTTTTATTGATACTGTAAAAGTGTTATCAGGTGAGATGAAGACCATATCCACTTCCCTCTCATTTAGGTTCACAACCTGTAGTGAAGCTATCTATGTGTAAGTAATGCAGTATTCATGTCTCTCGCTCTCTTTCTCTATCCGTCCCTCTCTATCTCTGAAACAATATTATCCAAAAAAGTGCAGAAAATGTAAGTTATTCTGCAGAGACTCAACAGTATATCATTGAATCTGTGTTGTGTTGAAGAAAGTCCTTCAGTGAAGTATCGATTTAAAAAAAACTACGGATGTATCATATATGTGAAAGTAATACACTTTGAAACAAGTGATATTTGTCTTTGTCAGGTTTTATTGTTCAATATTTATATTTCATCGTTTTTTTGGCCTGCTTTGCATGCATGTGCCCCTACCCACTCTACTGTTCTTTCTCTGACTATGAAAGGAGGGTAGTAGTTTCTTGAACCCTGTCACATAAACGTGTCAGTTGCCTTTCACAGTCTCAGGATCTAACTATTAGCCTAGCCTGACGACTCGCACCAAATTCTTCCGCTGCTCTGTCGTTCGCTACATGCTTTAGTCTGAGATTGCCATCATTGAAGTTGTTTGTGAAGTCCTCAGCGACTGGATCGTCACTAGCCAATCAGAGTATCACAGCCAATGGCACATTTTCAAACCGCCACTTTACCCAAGTGTGTTCTGGCTCTGGCCCAACCCATCAGATTCTGGACCAATCAGACGGCCCCGACTGTGTTCGCATTAGGTGACGGGTCAGGGAGGTACTCAGATTCAGACTCACTGGGCAGGTTTGCGTGGTAAGGCGAAAGTAAACAGAAGTCTAATACGAGTCGGGGGAGGTACACCGACTTCTGCTATTTCTAGGAATCACGACAATGGCAGACATGTTGTTTGCGTTCGTTATTGCCGATGAAGTTGATGCTATTGAAATCCCACTTCTCCTACACAAAGCTGAACGTGATCATGTTCCAAGGAATTAATATCCTGATGATAACGAAATTAGATACCAGCCCAAGCTCTTTCACAAGCCTTGTTTTGTATTTCTGTGATGGTTTTCTCAAAATATAACCAGGTAGTGAGTAAATAGGCTACTAGAATGAGAACATATCGGGAGTTTCTGCAGCATATGGGATGTGCTCTGTTTGCCATTACTTCATGCCCTTGTACCTTCCTCATTATTATTTGTGATTGTGCAACATGGAATTGTAACAGATGTCATTAAATGGAGTCCAGAAATATTCTTAATGTATGGTAATTGATTGCATGTCAGCATCACTACAGCCTACAGTGCATTTCTTTAATTCTCAACCTTTGTTACTTTTGTCAGTAAGCATGTAAAGAACATAATTTAATTCAATCACATGAAGACAAAACACTCACTGTACAGAAAAGTATTAGACTATACATGTATTGTACATCAGTTCACATAAATTACTGGGTAAACAATATGAAAAGGATTAGACTACATGTACATCAGTTCACATAATTTACTGGGTGACAATATGCCAAGCAAAATGCCAAGCAGTCGAATGCACTTGGTGTTGACCCCACGACTAGTGTCTGCGGTACTTGCTCATTGAGAGACGGTTTCCCGGACAGATTAAGCCTCTAAAATTGTAGAAATACCCTACAATAGTGTAGCCTACAATATGTACTCCATTTTATTCACACTTAATAGACAATCAACAAATTTGAATTTGTTTGGTGACAATATTACAAACCAGACCAATTGTAGGCTATAACATTACAGTAACATCTAGATAAATATACTGAACAAAAATATAAATGCAACATGCAACAATTTCAAAGATTTAACTGAGTTACAGTTCATATAAGGAAATCAATCAATTGAAATAAATAAATTAGGCCCTAATCTATGGATTTCACATGACTGGGAATACAGATATGCATCTGTTGGTCACAGATTACTTTAAAAAAATAACAAATGGGCCTCACAATGGGCCTCAGGATGTCGTCACGGTATCTCTGCATTCAAATTGCCATCAATAAAATGTAATTGTGTTCGTTGTCCGTAGCTAATGCCTGCCCATACCATACCGCACCGCCACCATGGGGCACTCTGTTCACAACATTGACATCAGCAAACCGCTTGCCCACACGACGCCATACACGTGGTCTGTGGTTGTGAGGCCGGTTGGACGTACTGCCAAAATCTCTAAAATTACGTTAGAGGCGGCTTATGGTAGAGAAATGAACATTAAATTCTCTGGCAACAGCTCTGGTGGACATTCCTGTAGTCAGCATGCCAATTGCACGCTCCTTCAAAACTTGAGACATATGTGGCATTGTGTTGTGTGACAAAACTGCACATTTTAGAGTGGCCTTTTATTGTCCCCAGCACAAGGTGCACCTGTGTAATAATCATGCTGTTTAATCCGTTTCTTAATATGCCATACCTGTCAGGTGGTTGAATTATCTTGGCAATGAAGAAATGTACAACATTTGAGAGAAATAAGCTTTTTGTGCGAATGGAAAATTTGGGGATCATTTATTTCAGCTCATAAAACATGGGACCAACACTTTACATGTTGCGTTTATATTTTTGTTCATTGTACATTAGCTATATTGTCGCACGTAGGATATTTCATTTATTTATGTTAGAAATTTGGATCACATGTAGGCCTATGTAATTAGATTGTAAGGATGTAAGGATAAAGATGTAGTCAAGCTCTAAATAGTCAGTCACTCAAAACAGTAAACATGCATTGATAATAACCAATGATAGGTGGCGACATCAACCATTTATGAGCATGTTGCGCCTTTTGCTTCCAAAGAAAACAGAAGGTTGTCTCCCACAATGCTTTGGTTCCGACTTCAAGTTGCAGTTGCAGAAATGTACAGTCGACTGCAGTCGAAAGGTTCATGACCTTTGATCAGAGGGTTGTTGTAAAGGTCATGCAGTTATGTAGTCGCAAGTTGGATCATTTTTATACCCATAATGCAACACACTTTGAAAGGCGGTGACCAACGTTGGTCAACGTCTTGACAAAAGTAATCTGCTCGACTGCGCCCATTGCGCAGCGTTTGGCCGGAGCAAGCAGTCTGGTTAGCCAGGCAACCATTAGCCCCTCTAAATATTAATGCTTATAACATACGGTCAAGAAACAGTCTTCTTCTAACATCTATTAGCAAAGTCTTAACTAAGTTGAAAAACAAATATTGTTGGAGGTGATTATAATGTTGCTCCTGATGACTGGGTGGATAGGTATCCCACCAGGCATCAGCCCATTGTTTTAATAACTAAATGATTAATTCTGCTCTAACTTTTAAACTTTATGATATTTGGCATTCTCAGAATCCAACTTTAAAACAAGTGTATTGGTTTAACTCAAGAATGTATTATTGTTTGGTATCTTCCAATCTTCTAAATATTGTCAGTGAATGTAGTATTTCCTCAGTTCCTCTGACAGACCATTGTTCCCTCCTTCTTTTTTGATAATGATAAGAGATTTTTTAAATCATACTGGAAATGTAACTATTTTCTTTCAAAGAATTAGTATTTTTGTTTACAGTCTAATTCTGCACTTTCTGCTACTAGCAAATTGGAAATTATTAAATTATAAATTCGTTGTCTTGCCATAACTGGTAAAATGCTAGCTCGAAACAGATTCTCCAAGCAGATGGATATTATTGTTGATATTAACAGGCTGAGCAATAAACTTGATTTAAATGTTGATGAAAAAGCAGAGCTTGCAAAACACCAATGTGAACTGGACGACATTCAGTGCATTCGGAAAGTATTCAGACCCCTTGACTTTTTCCACATTTTGTTACGTTACAGCCTTATTCTAAAATGTATTTATTTTTAAAGGGGAAGTGGTCTGAATACTTTCCGAATTAACTGTATAGATAAAAGTAATCTTGTCCTAGAGAGATTTACACGGTTATCAAAACGTCACGCCATGGTAAGCCTGCACGAAACACAGCTCTTATTTTAAGTGTTTCTAAAATCCCCTATGTGAAAAATGAATGGCGGAAAAACGATTGGAACCATTTCCTTGTTTGACCGCTAGGTGTTATGGGTATTATGACTCATACTGTGGTCCTCGATGATTGCTTTGTTATCAACAGCCTTGTGGCCATTGTAATCTTTTGACAGTAGAAAAACAGGGATCTCTAAAGTTGTCCCAGGTGAGGCAGGCGCCTTACCTAGTTGGTCTGGAATTCACCAGTCGTGTCTGAATACCCATACATGCGTTCTAAATAGTAGGCCTTTCGGGTATGTAAAAATATACTTTTTTATAGTATGTGAAATTTCGAAAGTTGAGTATGCTTTAAAGGTCCAACGCCTCTCCTTGATTACCTTTGACCTTTTTCAAAAGGAGGCGAGAAAAGACAGAGGAGAGAGGACGTATGAATTGATCAAACCAATTGACAAAAGGCCAGAGATTTTGGATTTGCCTCT